TTGCTGAAATTTGTGAGCATAACCGTTGCTTTGCCTCCCCGCAACTCTGCAATTCCTCTTGCGACGCAAATATTTCGGGTGACCAACAGATGCTGACTGCCTTCAACGACGCCTTCGAAGTCAGGTGATTCAGGAGCGCCGACTGAAATAATGACGCTTGAGCGAGGCGGAATGGTGACTTGTTCTTCCAGCACATTCAAGGCATGGTGTCCAGACGGCGTGCGCGGCAGTAGTGCTTCTTCTGTGGATAACGTTATCGACTTTGTTTTTAGGTTGATGACAGCACCATGGAGGCACAAGAAGTCCATGCCAAGGATGACATCTCTCGAGCAACGCTGTAGGACTACGAAGTCTGTAGGATAAATACGGCCGTTAATGGTGACTCTCGCTGTGCAGATTCCTGCAGGCGTTACGAGATGACCTCCGGCTGTGCGGATTTCAGGGCCTTTCCAAGCTGTCCTAACTTTCTTTAACTTCGCGGCGAACGACCCACTGATGACAGAATAGTCGGCTCCAGTATCGACGAGAGCGGTCACACTGTGGCCGTCGATAAGAACGTCGAGGTCGCTGATTCGCCATCTCGCATTACAGTTAGGGCGTGGCGTCGGGTCACGGCTGCGTCGGCTTGTTCCGCTGCTTCCCTGTTGCGTCGTCCGGCCACCTTCCGTAAGTGAGCTTTCGCCGTCAGGGCTTTGCCTGTTTGGCGTTGTGTTCGGAAAGCTCCGTCGCGGCGTCGTCGTCGTCGGAGGATCTTCGGTAGTTCGTCGCACAGCAACCGCACCTCCACCGGTTGCTGCCCTTAGTTTCCCGGATACGGGCTAGGAGACCGGCCCCGCGTTGGGCGAGAGTACTGTCGGTGGTGCGGTGACGTGCGGTGGCTGGGCGACGGCGAACGCGAAGGGCTTCGTGGTGTCCACCGAGTTCCTGTCAGGTAGTCGGCGATGTCACGGGGTCGTTCTCCTGGCTGTGGACGCGGTGCGTTGACGGCGAAGCCACGCAGTCCCATCTGTCGGTACTGGCAACGGCGGTATGTGTGTCCGGCCTCGCCGCAGTGGTAGCAGAGCGGGCGATGGTCAGGGGTGCGCCAGACGTCAGTCTTCCTCGGTGCACTGCGCTGGGCCGCTGGCGAACGGTATGACGTCGGTGGGGGTGGTGGCGTGGGGCAGCGGTGCGTGGGGAATTTGAAGCGATTGCCGAACTTCTTCTCGCACAATGTCGGCGATCGAATCCACTTGAGGCTGCGCCGAAGGCAACAGCTTGCGCAGCTCTTCCCGCACGATCGCTCGGATCGTTTCACGCAGGTCTCCGTAGTTACTGACTTGAGCAGCAGCGCAGTCTGCAGTCAGGCGACGATTATACTGCCTGGTGCGCATGTCGAGGGTCTTTTCAATAGTGGTCGCTTCGGCTACGAATTCTTGGATGGTTTTCGGTGGGTTTCTCATCAGCCCCGCGAAGAGCTCCTGTTTGACCCCTCGCATGAGGAAACGAACTTTCTTTTCCTCAGGCATGTCTGGGTCAGCGTGACGGAATAGGCGGGTCATCTCCTCTGTGAAAATTCCAACCTTTTCGTTTGGTAGCTGAACCCGGGTCTCGAGTAGAGCAGCGGCCCTCTCTTTGCGAGCGACGCTTGCGAACGTTTGAAGAAATGCGCCGCAGAAGACATCCCACGTTCGGAGCGTGGACTCCCGATTCTCTAGCCAGGTCCTTGCAGTGTCTTCCCGGTAGAAGTACACACGACGGAGCTTTTCTTCATTGTCCCAGTGGTTGAGGGCGGCCACACGGTCGTATGTTTCTAGCCAGGTTTCCGGGTCTTCGAACGATGACCCATGGAAAATTGGTGGTTCCCTGGGTTGATGCATGACCATCGTGGGCTGGGACGCTGCGGTTGTCATTGTCGCTGCAGTCGCGGTCATGGCTTTGGTCTTCCGCGGCTTGTCGTGTAGAAGCCCGTACTCCGGTGGTAGCCCTTGCTGTCGGCGGCTTGTTCGCTGCTCCTGGTTGGCGTCGGTGTCTTCTCCGCGACGTGGGCTGGGTTCACGGCTTGACGGGGGCGTCCGGTACATGAACGGAGCAGCACCTCCACCAAATGTCACGGGGTCGTGACGTGGCCGAAGACAGGAGACTTCTTGTTGGAATTTAACTGTTTATTTGGGCGAACCTGTGCCCGGTAAACAGAAAGTCCAATTACAGCAGCAGTCTCGCACAGATAGCAGTCTCAAACTGATAGCGGCGAACGGAGCGTCGGCCTTCGATCAACAACTGACAAGCGGCGAAGCGTGTCGGCATTTATGCTCCCGCCGTCGAATGTTCTAGTGCTATCGCTGGCGGCGGCGTGCGTTCCAGAACAATCTGTACCATTCGCACAGTGGGCGTGATCTTATCAAAATGATCTACTACAGTCCGGAACCCTCTAGAAAACTGCAGACGCGGTTTGCGCTGAGAATCGTGTGGTGTTTTGGGACGATAACAAAAGCTTGGGAAATGGAACGTGGCAATATTCCATAATGTTTTAGACATAACACCTTTTCCTTAAGCTCGGAAGTGCGTGTGGCTTCACGAGTAATGTTTTCTCATCATATGCGTGATTGCGTAACTCTTTTTAGTATGGAAACTAAGACATCACGACAAACTTATTTGTATATCGTGACACTAATAATAATAAAAAGTAATGTATCAATCAGGAAATCCAACTTTACACACACATTTTGTAGTTCGACTCTCAGTGAATCCATTCGGGTTTTCTCGGCTGCATTAGTGAGTATAAGTCTCAGGTAGTCCAGGTAGAGAATATTTTTTGTGTCTCGATCAGAGGGAGCTCTCTGTGCAAAATAGATCTTGTTAGAGACTCTGAGTTAGTTTCAATATTTTCGCAGACCCATTCGTTTGCCTCTGCGTGCAACACACAGCCCTCGACACATGGGATAAGTCTGCTCACATTGATATTGGCCGACGACATAAACCGGCTTCTTCCTGCGCATCTGATTTGTTCAGAGGTTGGCGACTGCCGTCGCATGACGAAAACATTGAGCAGCAAGCTACTGAGCAAAAACAGTCGCTTTGCGAGCAAAGCGTTCATTTGAGACTATCTGCAACCAGTCACTATGCGGTCAACTTGGTCCGGAGACCAGTTTTGTTAGGAGGTCTGAACAAGCTTTAATTAAGAGAGGCGAATGTATAACACACAAAGTTTCAGGAAACTTTATTTAGTGAATGCAGCCAAAATACGAAAAAAAGACGCTGAAATTAGTTATGTACCATTGACATTGGTAGGAAGATTTTAGCGGGAAATCTTGAAATGATTCACGAACGAAACAAGTAGAACCCCAGATTCGTTTGGTTCTTCGAATAATCTGCTAAAGATCTCAAACTAAGAACATTACATGTATTTTAATAATGTTCTATCAGTGTAGAGTGATTTGTCGTTTGGCTCTAGTGTTTCTGTAAAACTGTTCTTCGAACTAATCAATGGTTCTAGATAGTGAAGCAAATAAAATATTATTATTTGTTTAGCTTTAACGTTGCGACACCACAATATCATTATTAGGGATGTCGTGGTGTAGACCTCCAGATATTTTGACCATCTAGTGTTCTTTACCGTGGGCCTATGTTCAAGTAGACGAGCCATGAAAATTTTAACCTCCACTGGAATGTGGCCAATATTGCCTGAATTCCATCCAGCCACCTTTGGGTGAACTGGTGGTAAGCAGTCGACCTTGGATCAAATACCTTAACTACAAGACCACCTTGGCTAATCTGAAGCATGCAGAAAAAAATATGTACAGCCACGCTTAACGAATTGTAACATGCTGTCCTTACTCAAGATGACGCCAACACAGCACGTATACATGAAAAAAATTGGCGAAATAAATTCCTTTAATCATCGGTACTTTCTGAACCAATTTAAAAGGTTTCAGTGGCAATGTTCAAGCTTGGGGTCACTTCAACCACATCTAGCGTGCTTCAACACAAATTCATCGCGACTGAACATATATGCGAAGGGTTTTGGAGACCCAAGCTGTGGATACGTACAGGTCTATGCTTCTGAGTTGGCACCCAAATTATTTGCGTCACCACGCATTCAACCACGAGTATCGTTACACTGCGATGCATATATATCTGCATACTCTTTATAGAATGTCTCGTCCCTTGTTGTGTTTCAAGTCTCCTAGAAGTTATTCCTTTGAAGGGTACTGTACAGAATTAATAGTTGCGTTTTCAAAGCTGTATTTCCAAGTTGTTTCGTGCTGCCTTCTTTTCGAAGTAGCTTTTCAGCGGTTGCAGTGTAGACACGTAGGTACGCGTAAATAAATAAATAGAGAAATATTTAATGAATATTAAGTAATTAACTATTTAATAAAGACGTGATAAGCGCTTAGTATGTAAGTATAAGAAATACAGAACTTGTTCAAGCAATTTTCAGTTCCGGCCGCAACAGTCATCATCATCATCGTCATCATTATCATCATCCTTCTAAATATTCCCAATGCAGGGCGAAGGCCTCTCGCATGTTTTTCCAATCAACACTATGTCATATCATATTATGCCAGCAACACGATGTCATAATAAATAATTAAATAGACCAAGAGTGCCGTTTATTAGACGTGAAATAAAACACTTTTTTAACAAATATGGTAGAATAATTATCTTGCAGCTTATTATGTGCTAAACTATAACCGTTCAATAGACCCGGGTTGCACATGAATATGTTGGATATGTATGACACGTCGAACGCATTTCACCTGTTCGAGTGATTTCTTCGCAGAGCAGCGCCTAACTTGAATAAATATGGGCATTACTTTCTAGAAAGTGCCCGCCCTCCCCGCCCCATCACCTTTCATCACTTGTTTAAAGCTTACCAATTCTGTTTCTGAGCACGGAGCTGACCCCTAAAAGCAAGGAAATATTGGTGTAAAATGTGGAAACGATGCGCATGCGCGGATTATGAAGACTGTAAGTGAAAAAAATATATATGTAAACAAGCTTCAAAAACTTCCACTTACTCTGTTCGGTAGTCGCGAACTTCCAGAAGACGTACACGGTGACTCCGAAGGAAACCACCCAGTGGTACACCTTTTCTGGAGTCCACCTCCACCTCGAAAGTTAAAGAGAGCACCGTTCCTTTATTTTTGCTTGCATCGTCTTCAGCATAGAAACACACTCACGTACTCGGACAATATGCATAACCGTACAGTCACACAGCCGGAGGTTCAAATAAAGAATACCATAGCAGGCACCACAACATATTCATGTACACTGTAGCACGACGTGCGTGGGACGTTTTCGAACAGAACACATGCGCTACATTTTAGGAGCTATATGCATGCACAATGATCACAAGCAAGGAAATTTACACATGAAAAGAAATATCTATTTTTCGTGAACAAGATGCGTATAGATAGACAGATACACAGATTAGATAGATAGATAGATAGATAGATAGATAGATAGATAGATAGATAGATAGATAGATAGATAGATAGATAGATAGATAGATGGAGACGCGCTTTCATATCCCAGGATAGTTTTAAAAACACAATTCCAACTCTCGGGGCATGTAGAAGTCCCTTTGAAGGATTCAGGTGCAGAATTCATGGCGAGCTTGGAAGTGCCAGCAGGCATTGTACGCACAAGCACACACAAGCACAACACTTCGCAATGCTGAAACGAGAACCGCACTGTCATGGTGGGGAGCTGTCCAGAAGAGAACCGGGCAAAAGAACGTAAGAAACGACGATATGGGCAACTCCTGTCAAATATGTCGTGCATCTCAACATCTCTCACCTCTGAACTTCAGCTTCTCGCTTGTGGGCAGCTTCGTGTTTTTCATCCATGTTTGTATCGTCTGATGCCGGCCAGAATATACGAGCCATTGTCATCCTGACATAATTTTAAGCTTCGGTTATACAGTTTCTTCGCTCAATTTTTCTGTGGCGGCTTATCACAACGCACCGCGCCAACGTAGCACACGCCGAGTGCTCGGATGCGTCAGCGTTCCAGATAGGTCAGGTACTACGGGAAATGAACACAAAACACAAAAAGAGACAAGAAAGCGACTATGAATTCCCGAAGTTCTGAATATCATAGAGCGGTCACTAAGTGCCCTTTCAGAACGAGAACTTTTGCGTCCGCAGCGAGCTATGCTTGGTATATATGAGATAGAAGTATATATATATACGTGGCCCAACCTAGTTTCTCGCTCCCAGAGTTAAAGCTTCAATCATGTTCTATTCGCTGCGAGGGGTTATTCGTATTATCCGGGCGCATTTTAACCGCGGAGCACATCTAGGGCTGAACCTTGCGACAGTTGAGTTTCCGCATGTCAAGCTCCGGTTCCCAGATACATAAATAGATGGTTCGGCTGCTGACCCATAGGTAGCGGGATCGAATCCCGGCTACGGCGGCTGTAGTATTGGTGAAGGCGACAACACTGTAGGTGCGTCTGCTCATATTAGGGTGCTGGTTAAAGAACCGCAGGTGGTCGAAATTTCTGAGGCCCTTCACTACGGCGTCTCTCATATTCATGTGGTGGTTTTGGCACGTACAACTACACATATCAATCACCCAATAGATGGCGTACCTTTCTCGGTCTCGGATGAGGCTGTATCTCTCGGTGAAACTTGCAAGAGGCGGTAAGCAGTGCGAGTTCACTGGACCTTCACGAAGCAGGTGTCGTGACCACTCTTGAAGCTTCGGACCATGCGAGACCTGACTTGGGATTGGTGATGAGTGACAATTATGTGATGGTGTGTTTGGGTGTTGGTGTGAGATTGGGGGCCGGTACCACACTGCGTGCGAGATAGCTCCCGGGCCACCGGTTAATTCAAGGATGCGCCGCTCTACGCGCGACTTACTGAGAGGATACCTGCTCTTCGCTTTAGAAAGTACTTTAGTTCAATGCAATCACATAAGAGAAAACCCTGTGGGCCTGCAGATTTCGCAAGGCTAGATCCACCGGCAATACAGGACATCCCAAGTCTTAGGCGAGGCCCATGGGGTGCGAGGAAAACAAGTGCAGTTGTGATGAGGGTGGTGGCTATTGGTGCAAAAACAGGCGTTTATGTGGCCTGCGCCATTTCGGAAAATGGGCAAGACTGCTCGTACGTCCGAGGAATAAGTCGCTCTTGAACAGCGGCATTAGGCATTGGCATGCGAGAGCTCCGCTGTTCCGACAGCTTTCACTGTGGCTGGCGTGGAATTTCTACATTATTTTGGCTCTTTAATTTTTCCAACGGCAGTAACATCTTAATGACATTAATCGTAATGCTAATCACAAGCGGTGAGATTCTGTGACCGGAAACAGCGATATGATTATGACGCACGCCATAGCCCAGGGTTTGAAGGGCTAGGACCTTATGGTGCTCTTTAAAGTGCACTGACATCGTGCAGTATACGGCTCGATAAATTGCTTTCCGCCTCCAACGAAATGCGACTGCTGCGACTGGAGTCTATTCTGTGACTATTGAATAAGCAGCCTATAGCCGTAACAAATGTACGACCGAGGTGTACTTTGATCCTAATGTTGAGTACTGGCACCGTTTTGTTGCACAGAGCGCAGCTTAGTCCATGCAAAATATCACCTGTACCTTTCACTCCGATTCACTACTTTTGATTTTTAAATGATGTGTAATTATTTGCATCGAAACAACAGCAACATCACACATTCCTCAATTTTTTCCATGTGTTACTAAATTTGCTGGCGGATCATAGTGTATTTTCGTCTTTATTTAAGCATGGCAACACCTCTGTTGTTATTTAATGAAGTTCATGACATTTGTGGAATATGCGACCTGCAATGACATTTTACTTTGATAGCGCCTTCATAGCTACACTCTATACGGGAATCCGTCGTCGGCAACGGTGTTGACGTCGTCGTCAGTGTACTGGCTCGTAAAAGGTCTAGCCGCAGTAAGGCACCATCGCGGCTGGCGCTAGCATCTATCGTTGGAAAAGAGAAGGAAAATCCAGGAGTGGGCGCACCGTCATTGCGCGAACGTGGAGGTCGCCTGGACATGTAGAAAATTTGGATAGCTCACGAAAAAAAAAAAAAAAACCCGGTGAAGAGAGCCATGAGGTATACAGGCGCTACTGTGTGTGTTATTGTTGCGTCATAAACTTCGGTATGGCATACCAGCCCGCTCAAAACGTTACGTTCGAATGTCCTGCCATTTTTTTCTTTTTTTGCATATGCGTTTACATGACATTACTTCCTGCTGTACGCTGTTGTGGTCGTGTCGCCATCATTGCACCGCAAAAGCATTTCTTTAAAAACGAATTCTTGGTTTCTAGCACCAAGTTCATCATATAAACGGGAGGCACGTTCAAGAGTCTCGGATACATTGACTGAGTGGGGTTCATGGAGGCACTCGTAAATATAAACACACAGCTTTGCTGCCTGTCGTTCGCATCGAAATGCGGCTCCCGTGGCCTTCAATCGAACCCGCGTCGCTGAGCTCTGGAGTGCTACACATTAGCCTCAATGAAGACGATAAACTGACGAATAAACAAGTGCGCCTGTCCTCGTGTGTTCCATCTCGTGTGTCCTGTTTAGTTGCGCTCTCACGATGGTTTCTAAGCTTGTTAAGACCGGCGGTGACGTGTCGGGGCCTGGAAGTTCAAGGGTTGACCTGTCCGGCAATAAATGTGCACTCTTCAACCATACTTGATAAGCGTTACGTCTTTCGCACTAGATTGGCGGTTCCCCAACCAAAACAGTGGGAAAGGGAATCAGCATCGAGCGAATGCCATCTGCAATCGGTCAAAGATGACGCAGCTGCATATTACTCTGCAGCTGTCAGCGGAATGTTGTTGCCCACGCGGAAATTCTCGGTGCTATTCTCGTGCATAGCTGTGAGTGAAATGAAAGTCGCTTTTCGCTACATTTTTAAGCCAGGTGGGAATCTACGACGTCAAACAGCCAAAGAACGTCATTTAAAACATATCCATTGAACTTGCTGCTACAAGATCTTCTTTCTCTCACCCGAAACTAAGTATTTCTCGTTAGAACTTTCTGTTTTGGGGGCCTCAGCTACGCGCAATGTGGTGTTCACAAATCAGCAGCTGCTGATCAGGACCATCTGAAACTATTAGGCATCATAATTTCTCTCCTAGTACTGCGTTCTCTGGCGACCTTGTCTCTTTCACAGTACTCGTGAACCCAAGCGTGTGAGCATTCGTCGATGACTGCGGCATCTTAATTGAGCATTGAACATGGTGTCTATGGGCTAGATACATTCCGAGTCGACGGTTGGGTGGATAGGAAAAACCATGTGTTGTCTCCGTCACTGCCCAGAGCGTATATCAGCGCGGAATTGGTTGCGTGTATCATTCGTCATTAATAAATTATGTTGGTTGCTCTTCTTACACAATACTCCAGTTTTGACTAAATAAATTTTTCTCTAAATTGTTTATTCTTAAGTTACCAATTACGTGTTGAGCCGCTATAGCTCATTTGTGTGATAACCCGAAAGAAACGACGTGGCCTGTAGCGTGAGTTTGGCAGGAACAGGAGTTGAACTGCTGCGATCGCGTCACGTATACATTACTCCGAGTGCTAAAAGATCCCTTTAACACCTCTTTAAGTAATTGTCTAATGGCTTCAATAAAGAAGCACATTGCCTCACGAAATAAGCATCGTAAAAATTTTTAGAATCTGTAAAGTACAAGCTGATTTAGATATTTGTCGCATGCTGTATTATTCGCGTTAACAGACAAACACGCGAAAAACGAGACTAAAAAATAAAGAAAGACTGATGAGTGTGTTCTCTAATAGACAGCCTCGTTCTTGAAATTGTGGAACGAATCATATGGTTGTTTTAGAACGTACAACCCCACATGTCAATGAAATTGTGCAACTAAGAGGAAAACTCAAACACGGCGATATTTGAATGACCACTCAAAAAATCTCCACAAACGTTCTGAAAATGCTTAAAATATATCAACGCGTTTGACTGCACGCTGTAAATTCTTAAAAAAGTTTTATTCGGGAGGGCGAACTAAAGTTTCACTCTACAAACCACGCCATCGGCTTGTTGCGTTGTCAGTGCGCATAAATGATTGAAAAATTATCTGGAACATGGCGCTGTGAAAAGACAGGAAAAGGGCATCAGGACGCTGCCAGAGGATGCATCATTGCGAATTTTTTTTCTCTTAGGAGCACTGCAATGGAAGTGTCATGTGAGTTTTCCTGTCTGTTTTATTTTCGTAATTACACTACTTCATTGTGACGGCACTACAGTAGACCGGGGAATGCACGGCAAATATTCTGTCCCCGTTAGTTACAGCTTCCTTTACGGTGCTGCCAGTGAAAGTGTTACGGCACTTGTCATGCAAAAAAAGTCCCGCCTCGGTGCAAGGCACTCAGAAAAGTCTTGTGCCGCAGAGACTTTTGCCGCAAAGACCACAGAGCGCTTGTCCTGTGTAGCTTTTTCTTCTTTTGTGTATCTCGTCGTTATATGCTTCACCTGAATGTTCGATGTATTCGAGAGACTTGAAGTCATTTTGCTGAAAATTGAAGCATTTGTCGCAAGCGCGAACACCCTCACGCCTAACGGAACGCATCATCGTGGAGCTGTGAAAGCAGAACTGCTCATGAATAGGCAAAAAAAAAAAAAGAAAAGCTCGCAGGCTTCCTTATGGATTCGTCTTAGATAACTGAAAGTTCTAAGCAGCCATCTTGCTTTCTTAGTCGATGTATTGAACCTACCTCAAACCTCTCCGAGTACTCTGTACCTAGCCTAGCTTTACAGGGCTTCTAGCATCACCGGCATGAGCCATTTTGTGCCCCTGCCATAGTGTTGTATGGCCTCCACGATGTGCCTAAATTAAACTAAGCAACGATCTCATACGATAACGTCGTCACGTAACGTGACGTTATGTGTTCATGATAGGGACGAAGCTTTTGTTGATCTCTGACCTCATAATAACGTCATATGGCGTCTTTGTCCCGTGATAAAGACGAATTGCGGCTAACTTGCGTTGTCACCAGCTACGGCGACGTCTTCAGGGCATCAGCCTTATTGTGAAACGACCTGGTGTACGCTGAATTCTACATTCGAACGTACGCAAGTGGTGGCGACAATAAAAATTATTATTTATAACAGAAACTACTGGAAAGCATTGTTGAGAAGCTTTTATTGATAAAGTACAGTAACCGATCGGATATGTGTGCATATTTGTTGAAAACGACGTGAAGGTGCTTGAGATGCGTTAATGAGAACTCCCACCCTTTCTCGTTACAATAGATCTGTTTGCCAGTGCCATGAATCTCTCCAAAAGTTTGCAAAGTCGTTATCCTATTCCTTTGACTTGTTTACTGTAGCAGAGCGTTTCGGTTAACTTAGTTGTACCCTAGCGTCCACTACAATGCCCGCTGCAGCCGGCACTTATTCTCTATAACGCCGGATAAGGGAAGAAAGCAATGAGGTAATTGGTGCAACTCCCGGCTGGTTTGTAAAGCGGTGAGCTCGAGTTGTTCACGATGCGGCTTGTTTATGCTTCGCCACTGCAGCCGCTTCCCAGTCGGCCACATCCATGCTAACATGACTTGTGCTGTAGAGGACAACCAGTATAGGAACTAATGGGAATGGGAAACCTGAAAGTAGCCAAACAACAACAATGTGGCACAGTTAAAACAATTAATTAAACCTTGAGTGGTAAGCATACGGAGTGAATTGAAACACAATGAAATCACAATTTCACCAAATGGAAACCTATCCCTAGACGAAATGTAGCGAGAATGTTGAATAATTTTCAATTTTTTATCAAATATTCAGTGAAAACCAACGCAGTACTGCCAGAAGCCTCGTGGCATGGCCGTATAAAGACTGTTCTGGAAACATTTAACATCGGAAGCTAGGAAACCGCATATTACCGGAAGCATAGAGTTTCCTAAAATTAACTCGAGGGGACTTGACGCTGCCATCGTTCAGCGACAATGGGAACGATGAGTAGTACACGGATTTGCCTAATCTTCCTACTTGGGGGGTGGGGTGGGGGGCAAACATATTCCTGGCTTCGTTTATTGCTGTGTTTTGGTTTTGTTTCGAAGGAAAGATTGAACCCTTTTGAACTTCGTGACCCGATTTAGAAAGGTAAGTCTCAAAAAATAAGGTGTTGGAGCGCAACCGCTGAATATTTGCCCACTTTTATTTCGTGAGAAAACAGCTCCAAGCCTCACGAACACACACGGAGCCAGAAGCAGGCCATAAGTACGAATATTAAAAAGAATCTGTGTACTACCCATCCTTCTCATGTTCGCTGAAGCATCGTGTGTTGCAGCTCCCGTAGACACTAGCGCCAGAGTTCCGTTCAGTGTATATTAGGAAACTCCATGACCAGAAAGCAGATGTGACACAGCCCAACTTCCTTGGCGCGCTGTGCAGTACCATTTCGTGTAATTGTAGCGGTTGTACTTTTAAGATTGCCGTATCCTTCTGTATGCAAAGTGAGGCAGGCAATGCCAATGATCTAGAAGGTAACTAAATGACAAGTCAGATGAGCCGGGCTAAAAAGGCCCGATCAAAGAAGCGAGTGCCATGCGGAGAAAGCAACTTTAGGAGCCATGAGGCAGTCCCAGCGTTCCTACCTCTGTTACGAGTAAAAGCCGCAGCTGAAGCCACATTTACTGCAGTGATCACGATGATTTTTAGAGTGAAAACATCATTGCAGAAGAATAATAAGAGTGCCATGTTCCACCTTCTATGAACATGGGATTTCATTGAGCAATGAAAAATTAATCTTGAAATGAAATGCACATATCTTCTTGATCGGATGGTCATACTGCAGTCAAAGCTGGCAAATCTGGATTTTGCTGTCTCACAGATTGGCGTATCAGATTGATATGATCAACGCTAAGCTACTGCGACAGGTTTTTGTGGGGGTGTTTCGCTGCAATGGACGAGGGAATACTACAAATGATCATATGTAGGATTTTGTGTGCCACAACCCCGATACAATTAGGATACATGCCGCATAGAGGAGGTCTCCGAAAACGTCCTCCATAAGGGGTTTTGAAGCGTAAGGCTAAGCATGAGAAGACAAGATCCTAGCATTCCGCTTACATAGGAATGCGACCACCGGGGCTGGATTCAGACGTGTCACTTTAAGTTCTGCCACACAGAACTGTAACCACCGTACCAGCGTGGCGTCTAGAAGAAAACACCGTAGCAGTTTTACCGGTTAGGATCCTCCTCACGATGACGAGGCTCAGGTCCAGTTCAGCCAAGTGGAAGATGCAAGCAGAGATTGTGAGCAGGAAATGCGGCGACCCCAGCAAGGCTTTCGCCTCTCGCATCCGCTCCGAGGAAGCGAGGTAGCGACCCTGAGAAGGCAGCGTAAACGAAATCTGAGTTTTGACGGAATGCATCTTAGACACGATTCTCGCAAGCTACACAGACGAATTCACGATAGCGCCTTTCGCTGCTTTGTAGAGCCATCCGTATGACAATTCAAGATAAGTAAGGCTACTCCTTTGGCCATATAGGCTATTTGTTTTAGGCTGGTGTCGGCAGAAAAAATGTACCGATTACTATGGTATTTTGGTTAAAAAATAAGGCATCAAGAAAGTGGCCACTTAGCACATTTGTTTTGTAGGCTGCCACTGGCCTAAAAATGGCTTCACTGGTGCATTGTAGCCAGACTTCGCTGCATTGACGTATACTGCTTTGATCGAATCGCGTACGACACAGTATCTACTACAAGTAGGAATACCAGGTTGAATTCATGTCTGCGTAATACCTCTCAAGAGGAATACCAATCACTTTCATTGGTAACCCCTTCTGGTTTTGAGCATGAGCTTGTGCACACTGTGTTAATCTCTATAAATATTTATGGAAATAGGGATTTTATCTATCATGTCATTCAGCGAATGAATGCATCTGTTGATATGATAATTCTGTTAAGATATATGCTTCGTAGCTTGACTTGTATATTTTCTTCGTAAACGATTTCCCTGTTTTTATACACGCCGCTTAGACGTGAACAAGCTCGTTTGTGTGACCTCAGTAGGCCAAAAAGCCCTTGGGTTTGCTGTGAAGTCTTTCTGCAAACATAAGTGCATTGTTTTTTTTTTTAAAAAACAAGAAAACATTCAACGATTGGCCTGTATCTCTGTCGGCATTATTGCGTTGTCGTAATTCCCACATGGTCACTGAAGAAGTGTGATGACGTGGTCAGTGACGTAGTCTTGGCTAACGACGATGTTCAATCCAGCCCAGTCAGAAAGGAAACTACACGTGGTTCCGAAACATAGGGTCTTTTATCAAACATGGGGTGCTATGCAGGATCGCCCGCACTTGGCCCGAGCGTGGCGAAATTTGGTATCTCGCCAAGATCTGGTGACACCCCCTTTTGAATGAGCTATCAGTGCAAAAAAGTCGAATCCAACCCTCAACACGCTGCCTTTCATTGGTTATAATAGAGCCTGGCATAGCGTCAAAGATAGTCGAGAAAGTAGGGCGGTGTTTTCGAACCAGCGACGTCTTCTTTCATTTTTTTTTTGTCGTTACACTGAGTGCAAAAGTGCACCCATGCAATAAATCTGTCAGAAGTTTTTTCTCGTAAAATTTTGAAAGGCTCGATCTGTTTAAATTCCCTTTGAAGCTTTTATTGGCAGCATTAAGTCTGCTTTAGAATAATAAGCACAGAGGCCTCTGAGATTATCTCTGCTGAGCGCTTCCCAACATCGCGACCACCGCTAAACCTGAGGCTATGTGTTAATTATCATGGTCTGCCTGTTAGCCCGCTACTCAGCCGGAGTGCGCCTTCTTTGTCGTCATCGTCCACTAGCGACCGAGCACGTGCGGCCGGCTAGTTACCTATTTCGCTGCGCGGTGTATTTGGCTAGTTAGGCCAGGACATGCTATGACCACAGTAATTAAGCCAAGTCGTGGTAAGACTAAAGTTATCACATATCTTATTAAGACCATGATATCAAGCCACATAAAGCTACAATTACATCCTAGAATACTTTAGTTAGTAAACTGTAACATGCAAGCTGATGCGCTACTTAACCACACTAATTAGCGTGACGTTGATTATGAACACACCAAATAAAAGCGCGCTAACGAGACCTTACTAATACGATCGCGATTAGTATCGTGCTAATAGGAATTACAATAAATAGCTCTATACTAATGATGGCTTTGCTAAGTGCACCCGAAGTAATTTCGTTTTAATTGAAAACTTTTCAATCAGGACAAAGCTGTTATGTGTTATGTTCACTAAGCCCTAGATAAAAAGTATAATGAAAACTAGGACAGAGCTGATGGGGCCTTCTCTTTGAAGCAGAGCAAGCAGGTGAGTAGGGGACCAAATTGAAAAGCTAGAAGAAGGTAGGTTATCACAAGCTCCTCTATGGCAGTGCAAGATGTACAAGTTATTTTACATGCAAAGAAGCAGATCCTTAGCATCCACCGCATTAATTGCTTGACAGTTACACAGGCACCATGGCGGTCACGGGTTGAACTGCGTGGGGCCTTCTCCAAACCAGTGATTTCGTATCCGACTTCACGCGTCATTTAGTGTGATTTACAGATGCCCGTGGTGAAGATAGACCGCTCACCACTTTTGCTTTGAACGAGGAGCAGTGTTCACGCCACAATGCCAGCAAGTGGAATGATTACTCTATCAGCTATATCGCACACACTATGCACACACGCACGCATAAGTAAAAGTCATATCATCACGTAGTTACTATGTATCACATTCAATTTCACCGCGCTCACGGCGTATCTGCTCACAGCCTCGTTGCCGCTGTGATGCGAGTGCCCCTGGTGAAAACCTGTCGTTATATTTATCCGCAAAGTTTGATAGAAACAAAATGAGCAGCGTGAGTGTGTTGCGTGTGCCCTCATGCAGCCGTCAAGAGTTCAAATGATCAAACTGCAGACGGAACAAAAGAACATGCCTGAAAGAGGACAAACGCGCACGAACACGCCTGTGGGAGGTGCGTGTCGAATTGCCAAAAGGTTGCACGACAATTAAGCTGACAATATTGCACTGCTCAAAAGATGACTCAGTGGCAGCGGTGACATGTACGCATGCACGTGGTGTTTTTTGTTTTTTGATAGCGATGCTCAACATACGTTTCTGTCGCCACGCGTGTTTTTGTAGCAATTTTTATCAGCGCTGCTATCACATGCCCCGCACTGTCTTCATGCCATGACCGTCGTAGAGCGAACTCATTGCTAACTCGCATGCCCGAAAAGCTCAGATCATCCTGAACAGCACCCACGGTTAGTGATCATGTTTCACTTTATCCATAGCATGATCAGACAAACATTCAGTGTATATTGTGCTGCGTCGTAAATCACTCAATTTTACTTCTTGTGGTAGTTGTCAGTTAAACGATTCTTTCTACCCACGTGTCATTGGAATACCACCCTATCCAGTGTCATTCATACCTGAAACTTCTTAATGGGCGCCCATTTCATCACCTCTGTGGTGATCACCTCGAGGACAATGCCGAGCACGCTTAGTGCGCACCAGATGCCGTCGTGCCCGTGCATGCTGTGCCAGACCCAGGTAAAAGTAAAGGCCACCGCCGTACCCAGAATCAACCTGTGGGCCCGGCGACTGCCACCCAGGACTGGCTCGTAGATGTACCTACGGATATAGAACTCACCGTAAGAAGAAGCATCGTAGGGAACTCTACGTTATTTAACGTCACGGCATCCGCGAGAAGAAGGTAGAAGTGAACGACACTACCTATACATACTACACAATCACATACTACCAGCTTGGTACCTGGGGCCAAACATCATTAGTGCTCATGTTTCACAGCAAAGCTGAATATGGGCTAGGGTATTCCGTCTGGATGAAGAAAAAACCTCTAGGGCTTGTATGGGCCGCATTAATTGGACAAACCCTTACTTAACCACACTGGTCAACTAAAAAGAAAGAATGGAACACAGGGACGGCGATAATTAAACATGATCGGGCGTGAAACGCCCAGCGTATGTGGAAAGGCAGTTGAGACGACGCATGTCGTCAATCAGAGAAACATTAGTGTGATGACAAGTGCCATAGGACATGATCGTGTGAGACCTTGATTGTACTGAAACTATTCTAACAGAAGGCGAGGCAGCGCGTGCACGGATTATCGCATCCTTGCGTGCTAGGTTTATCATTTTGGGCGTAATACAGTATTCCCCAAAAAGCATCAGCAAGGTGCTCAAAGGTAGTAATTAGAAGATAAATATTACTGTGCCACGTAACGTACTTTTCTTGAATAGCGTTTCCTATGTCCGACTGAGGTTCGTCTGAACGTTGGCAGCATTATTTGTCACAGAAAGGTCAGTTAGAATCTGTTTGAATAGACCAAAAAACATTACGCTAAGTGGCCGAACAAAATTGGTTTGCCCGGTTGAAATATTCAGTGACTGGAAGAAATCTGCTGGAACATATTTGTGACAACATTCGTGATGCTTTAGTAGACCGTGATTTTGAAGAACGCTTGGCAAAACTCATTATCTGAATCCATAAATATCGGATTCTTTAGTATACCACGACGAAATGTTTGTGTTTCTTTTATCATACTTTTTATATATATTCAGAGTTTTCCCACAACTCCCCACGTCGAGTGATGTTGCACTGGGGCGCAAAATAGTGACTATAGAGCGGATATCTCCTGAAATGTTCGCGCACTGGGAAGTTTGATCTTTTCGTGAGCTCACTCGCATACCTTCGGATCCACTTGTGCATGCCCCGGTCGAAGTACCTGGAAAGTTAAATCCATGACAATAAATGCGACTGCGATTCACACGTGAAAATGTCAAACAGGATGTGATCTGCACGCGCTTAAGCGATATCTTTTCTTGAAGTAGCAGGCATATTGACCGCTGTTTTGAGAAGAGGCAAGGGCAAAACAAAAAGAGCAGAAAAGAAGTGAAGAGAGAAAAACAGAAGGTAGCAACGTTAACCAGAGAAGCTTCTCGTGCCCATAGCCGTAACCACGAGTCATAGCTTCGTGTATGCCAACTGATTGTCAATAAACAGTTATAGTATATCGGGCTTACCGGGATACCAGGCGTATCGTTAAAGCGGGTTCGAAGCGCGCGTGCGCAGATACGTACGTTACCCGTATAGGCGCTATTTATATAGGCGCAGATACGTATGGGCGCAGATACGTACGTTACCCGTATGGGCGCTTACCGTATGGGCGCTATTTTTCAGATTTAACGTTACCGTGGTACCGCAGGTGTACGCAGTGAACGTGCAGCATGGCGGCGCTCTCGAACGCCCGCTTCGAAGTGATTTTGTCGTAGTTCTTGATTCACTTTGTTCGCAGTAAAAACGAATGTTTAAAGTGGTTTCGCTTGCCTTCAGTTAGCTTCGATGACCGAGTATTACAGATAAGTTGGCGTAGTTTTTTTTTAGATAGCTTCCCATTTCAAACGCATCTGGGCCTAACTACAAGATCGATGTAAACAAATTGGCAACATAAGTGTTTTCGCGTTTGGTGCCTGGTTCGATATTTATGTACTTTTATGATTACTATAATAAACTTGTAACAATGCTTCGCGTGGTGGCATAGCCGAACATTCCCGTTTTCTTTTCCGTTACACGGTTCTTTAAGTTATTAACCATCCGATAGGTGGCTCCACCATCCTAGCTAAGGAACGTAAACCACGTAGACGCTATCCCGCTAAGCTATAAGACGTTGTCCACAACGAACGTTTGCTGCACGGTAACGCCATTCCCTTAACCTCCGCTATCACGTTAACGGGAAAATATGACTGTCCAATGTCGTGCCGTGGGAGGCCCGGGCGGGCTAAGCGCAATCGACCGACGGAGACAGAGATAAACGACTAGAGCAACGAGGGAGGTCGACGATGTTTTTGCTGTTTATTGTGGGGAGCAGAAAAGACAGAATAATAGAAAACGAAGAAAAAACAAAAATAATACAGGTAAATCAATGAAGATTTTATAAGATAAGAATGAACAGATAGCTTGAACACGTAGCACGAGCGTGAGCTGTTAGTACACAGGTGCTCGTGAAGTCCGGTTGTCTTCAAGTGAACGAGGACGTTAAAGTAATCTGAGTAGTGTTGTTTCTTCTTTCGATTGTCAAGAGTTAACAGAGGATGCAGTTAGTCGTTGACGTTCAATTCGGCAAACAACCAAGTGGTTTGGTCTTACGATACTTACCTCCAGAAGTGCGAGCACCGATGCATTCTGGCTATGCACGGAGAGTGCGGAGGTACCTCAATGCCCTCCGCATTCGCTAGGGCGCCAGCGAAGCCGTAGGTGAACAGGTAGCGCACGTAGAATAAGAACAGCAGGGACATGCCGTAACCCACAAGGCTGAAGAGGTCGAGGCTGTGGGCCATCCAGGACCAGTGGGACATCGCCGCACTGTGAACCCACAGCAGCAAGACACGCTGATTATTTGTGCATTGAAAAGAGAGAGAGAATGATTATTATTAGGAGCTTACATCTCTATAGTTGTATGGTCGATTTTGAGTCGCAGAAATCTCCTGAAGATGACTGAGCAAATTCGACAAAGGTGAACACCGTAGTGCTTAGAGCTACTTGATGGAAATAAATGTTTCTCATAATGACAAAACTTTAGTTATCTTAGGCGCAAAGTGCTTAGTAGCAGCCTTGCTTTTCTACCGGAAGGCCTAATGGAAAATGCGTACACGCCCAATCATACCGTTAAAAGAAGAAGGACGACAACTGGAGAGGGCAGAGAATTTTATCCAGAACAGATAGCCAGGTATTGCAAAGCACACTATAGGCGAAATGCCTCCAAAATCTTCAAAAAGTAAGTAAATGTAATATTGGTTTGCCGTGATCAAAATTACTTCTTTTGTAGCCGTAGGCATCTTAAGATAGCTAAAAACATAATCAAGAGCAGTGAATAGGAAATGCAAATTAGACAACATTTAAATTAATGGAATGTCAAATGGTGAAAGGGATGTCCTCGAAGCGAAAAAAAACCCCAATGAAGCTTTGAGATTTCTAAAAAGTGGCATCCAGTGATAATTGCGAAGTAATGAAATTTAACGGTAACACTGAGTGTTCGAATGCAAAGAGAGGAACTGCCATGTTTTACTGTGACGTCCCGAACGAGAAAGCGTCGCCGTATCAACCATCAAACGATTTCAGTGTGTGGTTACGCAGGCTGCGCTTGCAATTATTAGAGTAGCTGCGATGGGTTCCTCACACGAATAAATTATCCTCCTTCACATAACTGCTAACTTCACTAATCAAAAATAATAATATGTGGCGTTTAAATACCCGAAACCACGAGGTGATCATGAGAGACGCCGTAGTGAAGGAGGGCTCTAGATATTTCAACCATCCGGCATTGTTTAACGTGCAGACACATCGCACAGTATATGGGCATGTGACATTTCGCCTCCATAAAAATGCGACCACCTTAGCTGAGATCAAACCCGGGAACTTCTGGTCAGTGGCTGAACCACCTAGGCACTGATACACTGAGGTGGTCACCCTGCCAATATAAATATGATCAATTTAGGCTTCCTAATTCATGTTCTAAATATCGTTTTTAACCATTTATTGTTACCTGCCAGCATAACAAAAGCGATTAGGATAGCAGCGAAGAAACATCTCAGTTTTCTGATTTTTGTACATCTCGGACGCATTTCACAAACGTCCCTGTACCACACAAATAAAAACAAAGCGGCTAAGATGATGCCTGAAAAATGCAGAAGTGATCAAATTGCCGGTGTTTGTTTTTCAGGTTATGCAGGTTATCCCCCTGTCAAGTGTTTCAGGTTATCTAGTGCTCTGAGAATTACGGTAAAAGCAACATGATCCCAATCTGCATCAGCGGCCTCTTTTCATGTGAGAGGCTCATTACTTCGCTAAAAGTTGGCATTTTTGTGTCACAGTGGTGAACTTTTGTGTCACTGCAGTGTCACAGCAGAAAACCGGCTGCAGATTGTAAACTCGACCTCAGATAGTTACATCAAAGTTTTGAAGAGAATGATTTATTTTTCCAAGAGAATAATTAATGCCGTTCTGGAATGACAAGTCGTGACAGTTCAGTCGTAGTATGTTTCGAGCTATCTACTAGCACCAGGGGGTCATGAAGTACATCTCAAGTAATCATCGAATCACCTCATTATTGCAGTTTCTTGCCTCACGGATATATTGCCGCAGAAAATTTTTAAATTTTCGAAGTATGAGCGGCTTTTTCGAAATTCGTCGCACATATACTTCAAAAATTTTCTCTATTTTCTCGTCTCGGTGAGCGTGGTAGAAGCTGCACAGGGAGTGCTGACGCAGGGGTGGAAAGCTACGTCAGCGCGCGTCACGAAATGGCTTGGCTCTCCATGTTGTTCTCGTGTGCGCTTGTGTTGCCACTGTGTAATTTTAGCTGCCATAAATACAGCACGACACCGGCACGCCATGAAACTATTTGTGTAGAAGTGCATCCTGGTTCAAACACCGTTCCTCATTTACGGCAGCTAGCAACCAATGGCACTATACTCTGCTGTTTTGCAACATACGGCTGACGTCCTCCTCCGATTTCAGTGAAGACGGGGCTGATTATGACAAGACTGAACTTGAGAAAGTGGCAGCTTATGAACTCCATGCGAACGCATTACAAAACATTTGGCTGAAGTGTTTGTAAGAGTGTTTGCTGTTCATAGAATGTGTTTTTCGACAGTCCCGTGATGTTGCGAAGGACTCATAAAATACTGAAATCTTGACAAAATGTGTCTCTATTTATAGCAAGTTGAATATGCTACACAATCAAACTGTCTTGTGTGCTAGGTTGAGGGGAACGAACGCAGCATTGCGACCCATGATACTTTACCTGTAGAAGAAGTGGCCCATAATTCCCATATATAAAGAAGTGTACTCCCGAACGAAGTCGCCTTGCATGGCATTCTGAATGTACAGCATAGCATTTTGAAATCCTACACAGTAAAACTGTCTTGTGTACTACGCTGAGGCCAACTAACGCAGAATTGCAACCCTTGATACTTTACCTGTAGAAGAAGTGGATCATGATTTCCATAAGGAAGAAGTGAGCCGCCGAACGAAGTAGCCTTGCAATGGCGCCAGCAACAATCCTTGGCGTGCACGTCGGTCTTGTCTTGTTCAGCTGTACGAACGTATGTGCGTACTCTTTTTGGAAAGAATAATTCCATACAAACGGTCAGAAAAGCACGTGAGACAGAGAGAGAAGAAGGGATAAATGTAATGTGGAAAACAGAGATGTTAGAAAGAGGACGAACACCCTGTTTGCTACTCTGCACCAGTGGCGTATCGGATGTGTGACACACCAGGCAAAGAGCCTGGTGGGACCATGGCAAATTTTAGTGCAATAGCTTTAAACAGCTTATTTCACAGAAATTTTGGCATCGGCGTTGTTGTCACCATCGGTGTTGGCATCGGTGTCGCCGTCGTTGGTTGTGAGCGAAAAATCATCATCTTACATGTGACCGAAAAATTAAGAACAATGCAAATAAAATAAATAAATTATAAACGAACGTTAGTCATCACTTAAAATCTCAATATATGCTGGTTGTTAAAGTAGTCGGGTAGCTCATGGTTACATAGCGCCTGGGAAAGCGGTGTCAATTCCCAAGCGTTGGCAAAATTTCGACGACAGTTCTTTTGAATGACGATGATAAAAACGGAGCCGAAAAAGCGCTGTGACCATCCTTCTATATGGGTCAGAGTTTTTTAGTATGTGCTCTTGTTGAATGATTGTGTCTCTCTATCTCCTGCCTGTACACAGGTATACGTTGAAGTTGCATATATCCAAACTAGTATTCTTCTTATGATACAGATGTTTGGAGCCTGTTTTTGTTTGATCATATTTTGCTTAATAGGTTTGCTTCAATTCAATTCAACATAGTAGATGGCAAGCTAACACACTATGTTCCACTCTATTAACTGTCTCTCAGTGGTTCCATCATCGTCCTTTGCCGTATTTTTTGTGGTCTTATATGAGTTTACAAAGCGCCGGCGTGGAGACAGAAATTGGAGTTCGCACATCGAAGACACGTGGCTTTAGATCTTCTAAGGTGGTGCGTTTTATTCGAGTAAAACAGTGTTATTCATTTGTCTTTTGATGTTTTCTGCTCACGAGTTATAGGGGATGGAATACTTTTGCGGGATTGCAGAACATAAAAAGAAGGATCGATCACCTATTGATTGGCACTGCATCTTTTAGCTACCGAGAAAAAAACATTCCCTTTTTTTTTCACATGTGGCGCTTTTTAAAGCCGATTCTAGCCCTGTCGCGACCTGAGTAAAAATTATCGTAAGACAGCCTCGACAGGCGTCAGTGAATCCAACACTTTCCAAAGAGCATTTACACGTGTTTCTCGCTGTAATGCGGCCTAGGTAATTGATATGCAACGTACACAAAGGTATATGTGGCGCTTCTGCTTATAGGCGTTGAAGCTGATGACACTAGCATAAATATTATGAATTCCAATTCTTGTTTCTTAGCAGATGAAAATGATGGTACATAAATTGACCTGAACTTCGCTCTTTTTACTCTATGTGGTTTCTTTGTTGTGGCAGTCGTTTTGCAGCAAGATAAAGTTGAGTGGTCTCATTTCAGCACCTCAAATTTTCAAGGCTCATCATCTCAAATATGTTCCCGTCTCCCAAGGCTTACAAAAAACTTTTTTTCTAATCCAAAACAAAAGCTAAAACGAACAACAAGCAAAAACACGAGTGAGTTCCAAGCTGCAAGTACAAATCACAGGCAAATGTATCATTTCCAACTTAAGTGAATGATAAAAGTGTTACAGTTTGCTATAGTTAATGTTGCAGCAAACTCTACGGAGTGCGCAATGTGCGCGTCGACTAAACGGAACGTTCGTGCCAAAGCACCCCCCCCCCCCCCCCCAAAAAATGTTTCTAGCCCAAGCCGAAGCTACCCTTCTTCTGTATGTGGCTCGTACGCTAAGTGTTAACTTTGCTGCCGAATGTGCTGTGTTTATCTCTCTTCCCTCTCTGCTCTCTATCTTTCATCTCCCCCATCCCCCTCCCATGTGCATTGTAGCAAACCGTCTACCTATAGGCTGGTTAACCTCCCTGCCGTTCTTCTCCTCCTATTTTCCTTCCTTGACTACTCTAATATCAGCAGATCGCCTAATTTAATGCGTCACCACAAATTGATAGTGTATTTCAAGAACAATCCGCTTCACTCCACCTGTTAATTCGCACCCAAATTACAACTGATGCTATGATTTCACTGGAGAAAACCAATTCGATCCCCGAAAATTTTTTGTAATACAAGGTATACTGCGCTGTATTCCACGGCAATTCTTCGCGTCGCAATGACCTTCAGCCACGGAGAGTAAGTGTGGCAGGCCTGACGTCATGCCAGGTGATCTGCTGCGGAAAAATGTCGCATTTGCGCTCACTTGTAGCCTCGACGCTATGGCACTACGTGTCCGAGTGGAACTTTATTTAAATACCATGTCTATAACTTTGCGAAACCAAGCAAACACAACATTTCATTCATGCCTTCTAGGTTTAGAAGGCAGATGCTTCTATGCAAGCTGTTTATTTGAATAACGATGCGCTAAAATGCTGTTGTGGGTGAGTGGACCTTATTTTGTCCGCTGTTCGTCAGAATGCATATTTGCTTATTTATAATAAGCCACTTATGCTTTTGAAAAATCATCATGTGGTGTTTTTCCGATTCTTTGATGAAGAACTTACGTTGTCATGGCTTCATGAATTGAATTATTTCAAAGTGACAAACTTAGGACCCTTCAGCAGCGTACGATGGTCTAAGGGAATGTTATGTTAACAAGAAAAAATTGTGTAAATTTTCTTATATACCTGGGCCACGTAGTCATCGTAGTTCTGGGGTGGACCCAGGTACACCGTGGGTAGGTAAACAAAGTAAGCTAGTGACTGCCAGTACGGCGGCCACCGACGTCTGCTGTGCCCCCATTGGTTCTGCCGCTCCGCTCGGACAAAGTCGAGGCTGAAGCTGTGTCCGCGCATGAGGTTCCAGTGGAAGGCGACGAAGGCTGCCCTGTATGGCATCAGGCCGTACCTGGGGAACATGTACTGGAGAGCAAGGCAATTTAAATGGAAACAGGTGCGATAAGAATGTAACGAATTTGGCAATATTTTGCTCAGCTAAAAAAAATGGCCGCATCAAGTAACAAAATCAGCGATGTAGTTTACATAACAAAAAAGGTGGCGCATCAGTATGAGTAAAAAAATTTGAATTCTGCTGACGTTCCGACTTACTAAGGTCTTACAAGATATCAAAATTTAGGCAAATGACTGGTTTGTTTCTTGTATTCTTGTCCCTCCAGTTTATTATATGAGCATGAATTCGAGGTTTGAGAGGACTTTTAAAGTGTTTGTTAGTGCCTTTAAATGCTTATTTTTTCTTGGTGCCAAATACTATACGTGCCCTTAAATGCGTATTTTAAATCTTGACGTCTATGTGAACGCTATTCCACTTGAAATTTCACTTTGGAGTACGCTTTGAGACTGGTAATATAATAATAGCGTTACGTTTCGCATACATTTCGGTGTCGGTATCGTCGTCCTTGGTTGGATGGATGGATATGGCTGTACCTTTTAGATCGGGCGGTGGCTAGCGCCACCAAGCCGTAATACTTAATGAACCCAAAACTATGTTTATTTTTTTCCCTAAAAAGTGAGTTTGAGGATTCGTACTTTGCAGTGAAGAGTTTAATTTTCACTCGTGCCTTGACTTTAGCCACCAATCAGATAACCTCCTTCTAGTTAAGTCTACTTGCTTAAAGCCTATTTTGCCCTCCCGGTCCCTAAACCCCAGTGCTTTGAAAAACTCTGCGCCATCATCCTGAACTATAGGGTGAAGCCCTTTACAGAACATTATCAAGTGTTCGGCAGTTTCTTCTTCCTCTCCACACGCACTGCATCCTGTGTCTAGCCCTTCGTATTTGGCCCGATATGTCTTGGTTCGCAGTACTCTCGTCCTGGCCTCAAACAGTAGAGAACTACCCCGAGTATTATCATAGATCCTTTCCTTGGCAATTTCCTGCTTAAAAGTTCGATACATCTCTAGTGCGGACTTCGAAATCATGCCCATTTTTCACATGTCAGTCTCCGTTTCCTTCACTTTCTTCTTAACCGAATGTTCTTTTTGGTTTGGCCACCTGCTGTTTTCTAAGTATTTACCAGTCAACTTCCTGGTTCGCTTCCTCCATTTTGTATCGACATTCTTCATGTACAAGTAGCTGAAAACCCTCCTAGCCCAACGCTCCTCCTTCATTTCTCTCAATCGCCTCTCAAATTTTATCTCGCTGCTAGCTTCCCTGCTCTCAAATCATGTGCATTCCATATCACATTGTACTCTCTGATTTGGTGTATTCCCGTGAGCTCCTAAAGCAAGCCTACCTATTCCACGTTGCTTAATTTCTAATCTCACTTGAGCTTCTGATCTCATGCACAAGACCGAATTGCGGAACGTCAAACCAGGAGCCATGATCCCTTTCCATATACCTCTCACAACAACATACCTATTGTAATTCCACAGTGCCCTATTTTTCATCACTGCTGCATTCCTGTTACCTTTAGTCATCACGTATATTCCGTGTTCCCTCAGGTACTCGGTCCCATTGCTTATCCATACACCCAGATATTTGTATTTATCTGTTATCTCTAGCGCGACCTCCTGTATCCTAAGCTCACTACCTTCGTTGTCATTGAAAATCATGACAGCTGATTTTTCCTTACTGAATCTAAGATCTAACCTATCTCCCTCATTACCGCCGATGTCCATCAATCTCTGCAAATCTTCCTTGTTGTTGGCCATTAGCACTATATCATCTGCGAACATTAATGCTGGTAGTGCCTGATCAATAAGTTTTCCTTGTTTCACTAGAGAGAGGTTGAAGCTCAGCCCACTTCCCTCTAATCCTCTAATCTTGTAGGTACATCATGAATAATGAGGGTGACAGGGGGCACCCCTGCCTAAGCCCCCGTTTTACCTCTGCAGGCTTGGATACCTGTTTTTCCCACTTTATAACTACCTTGTTACCTTTATAGATACCCTTTAAAATATTAGTGACTACAAGTTCCACGCCTAGTGTGTCCAGTATTCCCCACAATTCCTCTTGAACCACGCTATCGTACGCTCCCTTGATATCCAAGAATGCTAGCCACAGGGGCCTTTGTTCCTTTTCTGCTATTTCGATGCACTGCGTCAGTGAGAACAGATTGTCTTCCAAGCTCCTGTGTTTCCGAAACCCATTCTGCAGTTCCCCCAGCACCCCCTCATCTTCTATCCATGCTTGCAGTTTTTCCTTTAAAATCTGCATCGCCAGCCTGTAGACCACTGATGTCACTGTTATAGGACGGTAGTTGTTTATGTCAGCTTTGTCCCCCTTTCCTTTATAGATCATGCTCATCCTGCTAAGTTTCCATCCATCGGGAACTTCACCATTGATTATTATTTTGCTCACTGCCTCTCTCAAAGCCTGCTTAGTCTTTGGACCTAATGTCTTTATCAGCCTAATTGGAATGCCATCTGGGCCTGTTGATGTACTACTAAAAACCCTTTTCTCAGCCCTTTCCCAAACTCGTTGTGAAAATGGAGCGATTGCACCACTTGATTCGTCGTTCTTTATTGTGGTGCATAAAGTACTTCTTTGTTGAAAATTTTCTGTCACCCTGTTCTTATATATTCAATAGCTTCGTCCCCTTCTAGCCTGGCACCGTGGGCTGTAGTTATGAAACTCTGCTCTAGGCTCGTCTCATTTCTTAGGGAGTTTAGATGGTTCCAAAATTTCACAGCTGCCTTTCTATCTTTTTTATGTACCTCTGCCAGCCACTTAGCTCCCTTTCTTCTAATCTTTTCATTGATCAGAAGGGATGCAGCCCTTCTACAGCTTAGAAAGGTTTCCCATTTTCTGTCAACATGATCTGTCGGTTCACCCCGCTGCTTAGCATGACTTTGTTCTCTAGAGGCTTCCTGACGTTTTGCTATGGCTCTGTTAACTTCCTCATCCCACCAACTTTTGGGTTTGTGTCTTCTTTTCCGGGGTGACTTGTTACGCGTCTTAGCAAGCTCTAGCTCAAAGAGTCTAATTAGATTCGTGTATGTCCACAATGTCTTATTATCCTCCGTGATTACTTTCTCGATTTGTTTAGTGGCTATTTCAATTTGCCTTTCTGAATAAAAATTTTCCTGTAGTTGCTCATCTTGTCTCCTTCCCACTTTCACTGCTCTTCCAAAACTTAGCTTGATACGTTTGTGATCACTACCCAGACTTCTGGAGCCACCTTTTCTATGTGCATTCCCCTGAGCTTATCATACATCCTATGTGACATCAGTGCATAATCTATCGTCGACTGCAGCCTTCCTACCTCCCATGTTATTTGCCCTTCACACTTCTCGGTACTGTCGCAACTGATCAAATCAAGCCTTTCACACATATCCATGATCATTTTGCCTGTCGGGTCGGTATACCCATCTTTATCTTCTATGTGCGCATTCATGTCTCCTAGTATAATTATTTCTCCACTCTCTTCCTAACTCCTGAATGTCCTTTGATATACACTCTACCATTGCCTGGTTTTCCTCTCTGGCCTTTGCTCCCGTCCACAAGTACTCCAAACCAAGGAGTGTCATTAAACCTGTCACTTTCCCTTTTAGCCATTAATGTTCCTTGCACTCCTGCTTGACCCTTTGCCAGTCTGTACTTTTATGAATGAATGCCCCAATACCACCCCCCTTTTTGCTGCCTTCTGTTCTATTACAATATTTCCACGCGTAGTCCGGATTGTTCGGAGGTTGTTCCATGTCCCTGAAATTTGTTTCTACAAAACCGTATACCATCGCCCTCTCTTCCCTTAGCTGTTCTTCTATCTCTTCCCACTTCAGCCTGTTCCTACCACCCTGCATGTTAATATACCCTATATCTGAATGGGCTCGGCGCTCGTGGCTACGTCTATTTATGCCCCGGACTCTACCTATCTTAGACATTGGTGCCACTTTGGAATCGTATCTGTCCATAACACCTGTCGAAGAGTCTCCCTGGTTGTTTTCCTCGTTACTAGCTATCCTGCACCCCGAAGGGCTCGCTTGCCCCCCCAAAAAGCTACTGCGCGTCCTGCAAGTCGCCAACCCACCTCATGACCTAGCCGCCCATCGAAGTGAATTCTGTCTCGTTGAAAACCACCCCACCTATGCACCCCTTTGTTTATTTACACCACACAAAGCCTTTCTCTCGACTCATCCGCCATATCTCTTGGTTTGCGCTGACAACCACTCTTTGCAGGGTGCTATCACGTACTGGTACCTCCGGTATCGTGCATATCACTATCTGTACCTTAGGAGAAGTGGCGCGCATGTCATCGACGCCTTTCGCCAGTGTGGCTGCTAGCCCTGGTGTATCTTCATTTAGGACGTCGTTTAAACCGCCTGAAATTATCACGAGGTTTCGTCTATCAGCTGTAGTTTTGAGTTTTGCGCTCGCTTGCCTCATGACTGCTTCAAGCTTGCGTCCTGGGAACGCCCCTACTGCAACCCTCTTGTCACCTCTTACCCTCTCTTTTATGGCTTCTGGGCATCGATTTAAATTCGAGTCCCCGGCTATTATTACATGCTGTGACTTTTCAGCTGGAGCGTCCTGCACCTTGGGGCTACTTGCACTAGTGACGCCGGCTGCTTTGTCCCCTCCCAGCCTCACCACTACCTCGCTGAAGCTGGGCCTTGCGACAGTTGAACCGGCTAAACCTGTTTTTTCCAAACTTGCTTGCTCTTCCTTCTCCACCGTTCTGGTTGCTGGTTCTCTACTGTTCTCTCCGTAGGCCGCTTCTTTGTTCAGCTTCGCTAGCGCTTCCTCGGTGGACTTCAGTCTTTCTCCCATTGCCTTCGTTTTCTCTTGCTCTGTCACCAACGCAGTCTCGAGCGCATCGATTCTCACCAGCAGTTCACTTTGGGCAACCATCATTTTCTCTATTTTTTCCTCGACCTCACATTGCCTACACTTCGCGTCAGCCTCTTCTCCATCCGCTTCTACGCTTGGGTCCACTTTAAAACCCACTCCACATCCTGAACACTTTACAGTCTTTTTAACCATGTCTTTCTGACACCAATTATCCCTGTACTCGATAATTACTAAACTCGAGCTGTGCACTGCGAAAAAAAAAGAAAGTCAAAGCTCTACTACAAAAATTTGCGTGTTCAATGTTGGTTGTACCAATAAATCAGCGCCGTCTGTGAGCGAGAATTCAAGACAGATAGAAATATTGAAATAACAGAAAAAATCTTCGGCTCCAATGAAAAGCGAATCCACAGCATGTGCGGGCAAGCAAGTTTTATACCACATAGCCACGCCTATGCCTAAAATGGCTTTAAAACACTATGTGTACGCCGTGTATTGTGAGGAGTCTCGTTAAAGCATGCAATATTTCATGACAGAAGCGTAGAGTAGCACGAGGTGGCATAGCAAGTAGATTGCGCAAAAAGTTCCTATATTAAAGGGCTACTAAATGCAAATCAGAGAGGCAGAATCTATGGTCATCTTGAACAACACTAACAACAAGATGCCCGACTGCGCTGGTGTGCGTGTTGCCTTACGGATATATTGTAGGTACCTCAACACCTCGCAAAAGAAAAATTATGTCGTACTGGGCACTCTGCCACTGCACCTTCCGTAGGCATTCTAGGAAGTCTTGCTGTTCAGCCTAAATTGGCTGGTCTGGCTCGGTCTCATCTCGAGAGCACGTACATGTAGCCGCAACTCACGTGGTCGCCTAACTAAGGGCTGAAAACTAAAATCACACGAAAGCTCGTTTCATTTCGCATTATTTCTATATTGTCTGTGCAAACCATACCTAACTAATAATACAAATATTTTGTTCCAATCAGTATACGTCCAAATTCTGCGTTCCACTACTGTGGAACATAAGGATCTGCGTAGCAACGGAACTCAGTGATTATTTTTTGTTGAGTCCTTACAGCTGCATCTACACAACGATTGATAACGAGAATGTCTGAGGTAAGCATATGCGGCCTTCCCTACACGAGTAGACTCTTGTTATCGAGATTCACAAATTCGGCGTGTGATATACGCACTTCTTTTTACTACGCCTAATCAATTTCCTCTTTGTTGAGGCAGTTGAGATGCGATGGGTTTTGTGAACTTGTTTCCACCCTTAAGATGTAGGAACGAAGAGGCGGAAAAGCGCGTGTGTGAGGAGAAATCTCCTCTATAAGTAAGCCAGTCTGTCTAGGGTCAACTATAGCTTAATTGGAATAATTAGAGTATATAGCCTAATTGGCTCAACCTGCGTATAGAAATATTGGCCTCGATAAGCTTACATGCATAAATATTTATGTCTTAATAGACTTATATTGGCTCATCTACCCGAGCTCAGCATCATCTCAGTCCAGCCTAATTAGAACTAATTAGGCAGACATGAGTACTATAATATCCTTGTCTATTGAGCTAATTAGGTTTCTTGACTCAAAAGTAGGCTCAATGAAACTTGACTGTAATTAACTTAGCTTATAAAGGCACAGCTACGCTTAACTTGGTTTGACATGGCTGCGCTGGCAAGATAAGAATAGTTACTTATCTGCATCGTGAATCAGGCAATCGACGAGCACGATAGCTCTGCTGTAAAAGTGAAGTAACGAGCTGACTACGCACCGTGATTGTTCATTGACTCACCTCGAAGGGCTCAAAAGGGAGAACAAACTTCTGGCAGTGGATGACGAGGGCGACCACGTAACAGAGTAGTGGGATGCGCAGTGCCGCTGCGGCGTAGAATGCGGCGTGTTGGCCCAGGTACAGCACAGTCACTTCCCAGCCGAAGTTGAAGGCCACAAAAAGAGAGGAGTAGACAGCGTAGAAGATGGGAACCAGCTGCGGGACGTCATTGTGGATGTACAAATGTGATGGAGCAGTAATGTACGAAGGGATGTAGATTTTTCGATGGGTATTGCACATAGTTTCCTAGGAAGGAAGGAAGTATGTTTATTTACAGAAAGGCAGAGAGGTCGGCCTGAGCGATAGTTTGCTCTAGCCTGCTACTCTACACTGGGGGAAGGGAAAGGGGAAAAGAAAGATTAATGGATGACGATGGTGAGATAGAGAGGTGAGTATGTGGTGTTCTTTCTAGCTGAGACACATTTTAGAGCCGCGCACATAGTCCAGTTGTTTCTAAAAAGGTAATAACTGCTCTTGTGACCGCAGTTGCACTAATGGTGTCTGGCCAAGGGCCCAACATGGTCTCATCAGTTAATGACCTACTGCGATATTGTTCAGTAGAAGAAATCAGTGTTTGTCGTTCACGTGCGTATGCTGGGCAGACACAAATTATGTGCTCAAGTGTTTCTGGCACATCACAGTGTTCACAATTAGGACCGGTGTCACTGCGACCGATGATGTGTGCGTAACGTCTAGTGTACGCTACACAAAGACGAATGCGGTGGATCATACTTGTGAGTTGCCGTTTCAATTTAGGAGGCATGCGGAACCTCATTTCCGGGTCCCATTTGGAAGTCGCTGGTGTCGCCGTTCCGGTTTGGTCCAGTGCTGAAGTGTGTAGCTGCGCATCACGCAGCGAAGCAGGGCGTTCGTGTCAGCTCGTGAAAACGCAATGCGTACTTCAGGGGCACTGCTTAAGGCATTTTTAGCTTGAGCGTCTGCCTCTTCGTTTCCCATCACGCCGCGGGAATCCACTGGAAAGTTATAAGATGGCCATTTGTTGAAGCAACCTGAATAAGTTCTGTGATTTCTATTGCCAAGCTGTAATATGGACCTTGCTTCATGATGCAATTAATGGTTTGCAAAGCGGGTTTGGCATCACAGAAAATCGTCCAGGCTCGAGGTCGCTCTCCGGAAATAAACCTTATTGCCTCTCGGATAGCGACAAGCTCTGCGGCAGTTGATGTGGTTTTATGGTCCACTTTGAATCGTCGAGCGATATCCATGTCTGGGATGACAAAGGCAGCGGCGGAGGTGTTTAGCGTGGTGGAGCCGTCAGTGTACACGTGCAGAGAATCACTGTACGTTGTATAAATGTGATATAGGGTCAGTTGTCTGAGGCCAACAGAAGAAATGAGCGACTTCTTCGTAATTCCAGGTATCGTAAAAGAGATAGGTGGTTTAGGCAGAACCCATGGTGGCACTGCAGGGGCATTTGGCGGAGAAAACCTTGATGGTATAATATTTTCATGCCGCAATATTACTTTTGAGAAACTGCAATCTGGGTGAGTGGCGGGTAGTACTGACAGTGGGTGCTGTCTGTGTCTGCTCAGTAATCGTAGGTGAACTCTAAGTGGCTCGCAGAGCATGTATACACTGATGGGACAAGCCCGAGCCTCTGCGATTGTCCCATTTGTTGAAGTGCAGCGTGGTAGCCCCAAGCATCTTCGTAAGCATTGAGCTTGAACACTCTCGAGTGTCTTCACACAACTAGGTCTCATATTGGAAAGCACCGGCATGCTGTATCGAATGTATCCCACAAATAGAGCATTGTATAATTGAAGTAGCGATGATTCTGATGGGCCCCATCTTGCTCCTGCTACGTGGCGAAGAATGAGAGCAAAGCTCTTCAATTTAGATTTAAGTACGGCGACATGCCTCGTCCACGATAGATCTCTGTGTACGACAACCCCAAGAAACTTGTGGTGCGTTACAGCAGGTATCGCTGTCCCATTAATAAATATCGGGTAGTGCGACATATGCTTGCGCGTGAACGCAAGCACTGCGCATTTGTCGATTGAAAGAGTGAGCCCCTGACGTCGTAGATATTTGTATGTGATCGTCACTGCACGCTGTAGTCGAGCTCGCAATTGTGGACGAGTAGTTCCGGATGCCCATATGCATATGTCACCAGCGTATACACTGATCTTCACCGTGCTGGGAAGTTCTGCTGCTAGGCCGATCATTGTGACATTGAACAGGATCGGGCTGAGAACTCCTCCTTGGGGAACACCACGGTGAACCTTATATCGATCGGTGTCTCCGTTACTTGTCGTCATGTAAATGGTGCGGTCCCTAAGGTAGCTACAAATCCAAGCGTACAGTCGTCCACCGATGTCGAAATCTTCCAGTGCGTCAAGGATCGCATAATGCAGCACATTATCGTAGGCACCCTTAATGTCTAAGAAGATCGCCGCCACTAGTCTGCGTCGGCTTCTTTCCTCTTCAACGCTGGTGATTAAGTCGACCACACCATCAATGGCAGATCGGCCTCTTCTGAAGCCGTTCATAAATGCAGAAAAGGAGTTGTTGCTCTCTAGAAGCCACTCTAATCGTGCCCGTACCATTCTTTCCATCACTTTTCCGACGCAGCTGGCTAACGCGATTGGTCTGTAGGAGGAAAGTGCATAAGGACACTTCCCCGGCTTGAGCAATGCAATAATGCGACTGCATTTCCAGTTAGCTGGGACTTCTCCTGACTCCCATGAGGTGTTTTAATGAGATAACAGGATACGTCGTGCTTCTGTATCAAGATGGTTGAGTGCAGCATACGTGATTCCGTCAGGTCCTGGTGCCGATGATCGGCGGGAGGCAGAAATCGCAGCGTCAAGCTCATGTATTGTAAAACGTACATCAAGGCGCTCGTCAGACGATGGAGGCGCAATTGCAGTAAGAAGCTCATTAATGGCAAGATCATCAGTGGTGTCAACGATGAGGCTACAGTAATCACTGGCTATCTCAACTTCTGTCCGTCCCTGATGTAGAGCAACAGCTTGAAATGGTTGATGTTGTTGGGGAGTTGTCTGCAAACTTCGTACCACCCGCCAGATCTTAGATAGAGGTTGCCTGGGGTCCAGAGATCCACAGAAATTTCTCCAACGTTGCCTGTCAATCTTGTCAAGATGCCGAAGAACATGTCGTTGAGCTCGACGACAGGCGTAAAGGTCTGAAGGTGACTTCGTTCGTCTGTATCGGCGTTCGGCACGGCGACGGATTGCACGAAGGGCCTCGTATTGGGAGTCAACTGCTGATCTCTGCATCGGTAGGTTAACCTGTTTGGTTGTGTCACACAGTGAAGAAGCAATGATGTTTTCTACCTCGGATGGATCAGTCGTGTGCTCACAGCCAGACTTGACAGATGCCTTGAACAGTGTCCAGTCGGTTTGACGGATGTAGTGTGTGTGCGTGCGGCGAAACCACCTGAACTGAACATAGGTTGGAAGGTGGTCACTGCCGCGAGTGTTCAAATCTGTGCACCAACATGCGGAAGACAGAAGGTTTCTGGAAACGAAACAGAGGTCGAGGCAGCTGCTGTAGTACGTGCCACGAACAAATGTAGGTGATCCGTCGTTGAGTACGCTTAGTACATAGTTGTATATAAAATTGGCTAAATCCTTTCCGCGATAATTCGTTGTAGTGCTACCCCAGAGAGGATGATGTGCATTAAAATCGCCGATCACAATGTGTGGCCTTTGTGCTGCTTGAAGAATGGTCCCCAGGTGGAAGCAGTTCATCTGTGCGCTTGGGTGTATGTATCCTCCTATTACGGAGAATGTTCGCTTTTTATGTGTTATAGTCAGGCTCACGTAATCATTGCTGGTATGCGACGCGACTTCATGTCTCAAGAATGTCAAATCACGGCGTATACAAACAAAAACTTTGCTCGTACGTTGATCACTGCGGGACCAAATCTGAATATATCTAGATATACAAAAAGGTGAAACCATACTCGGTTCACATATAACGATAACAGGAAATTTATATTTAAAAACCCATTGTCTGAAGTCTGACAGACGGCCACGTAGGCCACGAGCATTCCATTGCATAACAAGCGACTGGCGCATGCGTTCTTCGAACATCAGTGCCATGTTCACTTACTGAAGAACCAGTAGAAGAGGCTCCAAAACCTCAAGTAGCTGCACAGCCGCCTTAGCAGCGGGAGTGTTTTGGCTGCTGAGAATCTTACGCATCGAACCCATCAAATTTGTAAGCATAGCCTTGACATCTGTGTTGTCCATCTTCTTGTTTTCCTCATTGGAGGTAGGGGCACTATGTGATGATGGCGCTACCGTAGCTCTTGACGGTAGTGAAGGCCACTGAGTCTCCGACGTGGGGAGAGCCAATGACTGGTTACATTGTACTTGCGTGGACTGTATTGGCATTTGAGCATCTGTATCCTCCTTTCTGGCCGACAAAAGTAGGCTAGGAGGTGGTGAGGGCACGGTTTTGTGTGTCGAATTCGATAAGCTATGAGCACTGCTGCTTCGTTTGTGTCGATGTCGCGAACAATGTTTACGGCGCCGTACAGCCCTTGCAGCTTCTCTGTGAGTGGAGTGGTCTCGAACCATCTTCTTCAGGATACTAATTTCATTCCTCATTTTGGGACATTCCTTTGATGTTGCGTCGTGGGCGCCTGAGCAGTTTGGGCATTTGGCCACAGCATTGCAGTTATCACCATCATGATGGCCACCGTAATGCTTGCAGGTTACTGCACCCTTGCAAACTGCACTAACGTGCCCAAATTTCATGCATTTATGACATTGCAGAGGTTTTGGTACGTAAGGACGTACCGAGTGCCTCACGTATCCAACTTTTACATGTGTGCGTAACGTCTTCGACTGAAACACTACTTTAACACATCGCGTGCGTCCAAAGCGGTGGAAGCCAAGCACGGGAGCCGACGATGACAGCAGTTTCTCGAGACTCGAGTCTGTTATCTCCTAATCCACATCGTGTATAACTCCTGTTGTCGTTTCTTCGTCGTACGCGGAGAATGCGCGAACCGGAATATTTCCTAATCGAACAATCGCTTTCAGCGTGTCCATTAAGGCCTTCGTAGTGACCTCCACGGACAGTATGTTCTTTCGGGTATTTATGCGTATTTCTACGACTTTCCCTGGAGCGATGAGCTCAAAGTACTCTGTCAGGCTCTGCCTATTTAGAGAGTTCAAGATGTCTGTCTTCGATGTCGGCACATACGAAATGGTGTACGACCGCATGCTACTCGCCTTTGTCTGTGCTTGCCGGCTAGTGGGCGATGTCCGGCTGATTTTCCTCTTCAGGCGTCGGCTTGGTACGACCACGTAGTCGCTGTCCGAAGCCATATCTTCAACGGAGGAGTCATCAGAATTGTCATCGTGGGCCCCTCTTGGGCCGGGGTGAGAACTTGCGTCAGACGCACTATGATGTGGTCGGCCCGGTCCCGGTTGCTGGATGGGGTTTTGATCCCCCATTATAAGGGGGAACGCCCCTTCGAGGTGTGTCGATTATTGAAAAAAGTTGGCAAAAGAATTAGGAAACTCACAGAGCTCGAAGCAGAGGCTGTTCTCTGTGACAACTTCATAGTTTCCTAAATTAACTAGAGGGGCTCTGAAGTCAGCCACCATGGGAATGATGAGTAGTACGCTCTTTTTCCTGGTGATAATGTTCGCCAGCTTCCAACATACGCGTGGCTTGTTCTGAAAGAACAGAGACTTGTGAACTTCGTAGCCCGAATTGAGTTGGTGAACCTGAAAGGTTAAGTGGGCGAAGGTACAACTGCTGAACAATTGCTGACTGTCGTCTCGTGAAAAAATGGCCGCACGCAATGGGAAGCCAAACGAAGCCGAAAGAACGAAGCTTAGACGGATCCGCATGCTACCCATCATTCCCATGCTCGTTGAAGCGCCGTGTGTCGCAGCTCCCATAGACATTAGCTCCAGAGCTCCCTTTAGTGCATTTATAGAAAACTTTATGGTAATGCGAAACGAAATTTTACATAAGCGGTGCATATAAGGATATTTTGGTCATAAGCAACAAGAATTTGTCATGGTCTGGATACGTAGCGAGATAAAAAGATACGATATAAAATACAGCGATATAGGAAGATGTCAATTGGTCACTAGGCGTAACAAGCTGGATTCGAAGAGAAAGCAAGGGTGAAATGAAGAGGCAGAAAGTTATGTGGACAGGTAGGATTAAAAACTGTGCGGTGATAAAGTGGCCCCCGTAAGCAGAGGTTCTGGATGAATGATGAAACAAAGAAAAATTATTCGGTTTTTTTCTGCAGTGGGCGTAGTCAAGCTGACAACCATGATTATGTTAATATAGAAATATTGACACCTAAGGAAGCGATAAGTGAAGGCCATTGTCAAAGGGCACTTGAAATATATTTTGAAATTTCGCAAACATTTCTAATATGAAGCCAAGGCATGTGTTATTCAAATATTGTTGCAATACATACGACAGAAAATTCACAAATTGGCGTAAAAAAGTCTATAAAGATTGCTTACTCCTCCCCTCGCCATGTATTCGACAACTACGCGACAATCAGGCAATATGTAGTGGCTGATTTCCTGAACAGCTAGTAGGATGATGGTCAGGATGGTTAGCGTGTTCCGCCATGTAGTTTTCGCAGTCGCCACATAGTGCCACCACATGCCGAAGATGCGTCCGTAAATGCCAAAAATAGCGATGGGGTACGTTCGGAAAAGAGAAAACAAATCGCAGCATATGCACGGAGTGAATGAGGAGGACTTGGGCGAAGTGTTCATGCGTGCATCTATCCGTGTATCTTTTCATCCGTACATGCGTCCATGCGTCCCATTGCGTTCAATAATGCCGACGGCGTGTGGGTAACACCGACGAGACGCGAGCCAAGGAAGCCGAGCACAAGCATCTTCAACGCGCCCGCCGCTCTGCTTCATCCATGTCCCATTAACAATCCGCCATGTACGGTGACTATCTAGGAGACTGAGAGAGGCACTCGTTCACCTAGTATGCAGGTGGCGCACGGGTAACACCGACGAGACGCGAGCCAAAGAAGCCGAGCGCGAGCGCATTGTAAGCGCTCGCTGCTCTGTTCCGTCCATGCCCCACCAACAATCCACCACGTACGGTGACTCTCCAGGAGACTGCAAGAGGCACTCGTTCTTGCACTGTTGCGAAGCGCGCCCAGCAGCCAATCGGAGAAGAGCGGTATTTAGGAGAGTAGCGGCAGAGTAATGCCATCTAAGAAACGAGGCGAAAAATGGTCATCTATTTCTTTTGATATTTTTTTTCTCGTTTCTTCTTGGTTACGTGTGACTAGTGACAAGGTTAGACTGGGCAGCTTCACCCCTAAAAAAATACCGTCACCTTCACGAAGTGAATGATGATGGAGGAGTTTGTCCGAAACTGATTAGGAGAACCCGTGAATCTTTCGTACAAGTTGTCTCTCATCATATAAACACGTGTCATGTTGTTATAGGGTTGATTTTATGTACCCTATATATGCACAAAATCTTATGAATTGCATAATGACGAAAGTATGTACAAGGACCACATTAGTGATTAGAAAGCTGTGGGACGCGTTTGCTTTTGAAGAATATAATTTTGTGGTTAGTGAAGTATGTGGCAAAGGGATCTTCAATTAGTGGTCACAGATGAAAGTTGGAGAAGGCAATGTCGATACAGGTCCCGAGTCGAGGTTGTCTTACCACAGCTTGCGTGCTGCCTCGGCTTCACGGGCTCTCCCATTCAGGGTCCGCCTGTCAAAGAGCCTTCTTCGCCGCACAAAGTGCACACAATGCCTTACAGTTGTGTAGTGGGTACCTCGTTTATCGCCGGAATTACGAATGACACAGTGGACGCCTCTTTACTGCATGAAAGTTGCGGTAAACACAGAAAAACGTCTCTAAATTGAGTGGCTAGGTTTCTTTGGTCCATAAATGTTGCGAAAGAGTAAGCAGGCGTTGAGCCGCTCCAGGTGGCAGTTACAGCTCGCTGTCACCTTTTTTCTCTATATATGTGCTTGTGTATCTATGTAGTGGGTACATTGCACATCTGCGCCTCTCGAGTACACGTCAAGGAACATACCACGAGTATAAGAAGCTTGGCAAGCAAGCTCCTAAAAGTAAAAGAAGAGTAGCATGACGTTTGCGAAAAGAACTTTTCAGCAGTGCATCTTTATTACGGCATCCCCTTCCACGTGCTCAATCTAGCTTACTGCGTATTTTGTGATGACGAAAGGACAGAGAAAGGGATCATCTTGTACAATGTTGTTCTTTATATTTGTTGGTTAAAAATATTACGAAGGGAACTACACAAAAAAGAAAGTCTAAAAATAAGGCTATCTAATGAAGACCTAACACTGTACGTTAGGACCTTTTTAATGTTCAGGTGGTAAAGAAACAGTATACAGATGGCACAATTCCCAAAATACAGTTATATGACACTGCAAATTACAACCGAAATAAGGTAACATACAGTGCTATGATTACATCAGAAAATCATTGCAACAAAACTACTTTACTTGGCACAATTTTATTGTTGTATTGGATGACGGGTGACCGAAGCTAATTACTTACATCATTGTGAGTAATAAAAAAAGCCCGAGCTATTTGGAACGCTGCGGTATAACAGTGCTTACCGATGGTGCGGCATACGCCGTCAACCGGCCAAGGACGGGATGCAAGAGGTACCACTGCCAAGTATTGGTAATGACGTATTTCGTGGTTTGCCACCCCCAGTTCATCACGTCCTGCGTCAGCCAAGGAAGCGGCGTCAGTTAGTTTGGGGTCTAACAGTGTCATGTGCGAGAAGAGGGTGATTGCACAGACACAAGCGTTACAATAATATTGTTGCAGTCAATACACAGTAGAACTATTGCAAAAAAACGTTGAACGATATTGCTGATACGCAGGCATTCAAAATATTATGAGGACAGCGTGGTAATTGGTAAAAAATGAGCAATGAAACGGAATTTACACCAGAACTAACAATACATGTTGTTTATCTCATGAAGAACAAGTCTACTATCATGTAATAAACCCGCACCTGCTCCGCAGTGAATGTCTAGTAGCAAATGCACTCAGTGGCTGACCCGCAGGTCGGCTGCATTTTTTATAGAGGCGACAATTCCGTAGGCTTGTGTGCGCAGATTTTGGTGCAAGTTAAAGACCCCAGGTGGTCAAAATTTATGGAGTCCTCCACTACGGCATCTCTCACAATCATATGGTGGTTTTCGGATGTTAAACCCCACATGTCAATCAATGAACCCCTTCATCACGTATGGTATGAAATTTCTTACAGCACAGACTTCGTAATTTGACTTCTGTATTGTCCGTTCTTGCTAAATCAAATAAAAGCTCGTGTTTGTGTGTGAATTTCTGGCTCAGTGACCTCAGTTTCGAAGGTAGCTAAATTCTGAGAACACCTGCAGGATTTCTTTCTTGGGCACTTTGAAGGACTCCAGATACTTCAATTTACTGCAAGATGAACCAAACGGCGTGCCTCCTTATCTTAAATGACAATTTTGGCTCATAAAACACCACTGATTACTACGTGTCGGTACTTTATTAGCACTGAAATACAGACTTGATCAAGCATTTACAAACTCACTCAGCAACAACGTCTTCTTAAAAGGTCAGTGAAAAACTTCAATGTTCAAGCATTGTCATTGAGAGAAACAAATGCACTTTTTTTGTGAACAAGCTGCCGCAAAAAGCTTGCAAATGCGTGCTATATTAAGAAAGTTACAGGGTTTAGAACATCGGTTCCGACTAGTTGCAAATTTTTGCGAGGTCTCGCCACCCTTCCCTCTCACATGAAGGGGAAGGTGTAACCCGTTATCGTGACTGGTTTAGACCAATCTACGAGCTGCTTTCTAAGTCACCCATCGGCGACCTTGCATCACAGCGCGTGAAAAGAGGATTGGCCAGGCGTAGGAAAGGAGTGCCGGGAACTGTTTTTTGAAATGTTGACTCTGAGCTGCGCGCAGCGCTGTAATATTCGAAAAACGTAATCGCCGCCATTCACTCCATGAACAGCGGAGCTTTTTAGGGGTGTAAAAAAGTCGGCACCTGTTAACTGGCCCTTTAAGTAACGTCGGTTGCCTCCGTTACTTTACTAAAGATAGGGATATCTCACTAAGCAGCTTACCGCGCTTCTCTACAACCTACGATAATTGATGACATGTTTACTGGGGCTTTTATGTCACGTACGATGTGATGAATGCATTGGAAAATCACTCAACTCTATAGCGACAGTAGTCAACAAAAGAAAGGTAATTTTTTTTCGAGGGGTTCGTTTACGTACCAAACACAACCGAATGAATAGAACGAACTATTTGTACTATTGGTCTGTTTGATTCACTTGGTTGCTCTTAACACATAAGAAGCCCACCGAAAAAAATGTCTTTCTTCATTTAGAGCAATGGTGGCGGCACGACACATTTAATGGCTTACGTAAGCATACGAAGGCTTACTGGTCAGCTACCACCTCGTACTAAATTACGTGCTACGTGACGACCTCTAACGAAAAAAAATGAAGACTCCAAAATATGTGCCTGGGCTACAATCAACTCCAGCCAACACTTCCCGGTATTCCATGTGCACAAATTTTCATGAAGATTAGGGAGAAGCACCTTCCATCGTAGTTCGATTTTCATAATTCGCATAATTCGAGGATCGCGGGTTTAAAGCTCACCCACGAAACAGGGGACTATATTTCGCCAATTTCAAATAATTTCAACACTCCTCACAAGTAGCGTAATCACTGAAGAGCGATAGTGATGGCGAAGGCGTTTCCAAGGTCAATGACTTGTGCATTGTTGATTTGAAACAACGCCAGATAAGCTCAAAAAAGTGTCAAAGAAGAGAACTGCACGTTTCTATCTCATCAATTAGGCCACGCGGACAATCCTGAAGCTAATTTACTATTCTTTTCTGTTTATATTCACATGCTTTGTACCAATGGTCTGGGATCACATTGAATACGTGTCCGGTGTAACATAACTTATGCTGAGATATATATGTTTCTTGCAAGTGTGAGCGAAAAAAAAAACGAAACTCATGACACACACACACACACACACACACATACACACATACACACACACACGCACACACACACGCGTGCGTGCGCGCACGCACGCACTAAAGCACAAGTTCACGAACTGATAAACACAAAAAATAGCTGCCACTGTGAGAACACATAACCTAGTCATTATTTAAAAAACACACCGGGTCATAAAAGTCAGCAAGGCCGAGCTAAAATAGATTCTATATTGCCTCATACAATGGAAAGCTAGTAGCTTACTTGCTGTTTCTGAAGCCCGTAAGGACTCTTCTTGAAACCATCTGGCATTTGTTCCACGAGAAATGTGCCTAAGAAAAAGAAATATTGTTCACGTCCCAATATAGCAAAAGAAACACATAGCTGATTCAACCGTCATAGGAATAGAGATAACGTGAACATGACACCTATTCGTACAGAAGCATTTGACCGTTTATTGCTTTGATAAATGAGAGCCTATAGACTTTTTTTTCCATGGGCGCCGCCATCTTGCTAGCTGGCGGCCCTTTTCTAGTCTGGCAACCCATCTGCAATGCGGGAAAATCGCTGTTGGCATAGAAGGTGTACGTGCGGCAGCGTTTTTATTGTTCCGTTTTAGTTTTTACGCGGTGAATTTTGACTGAAGTGATGCAGGTTATTTAAAAAATGAGTGTATGACACGTTCTGACAAGGCTCGATTCGTCGAGGGTCAACTGTTTTATTATACAGTGCTGCGAACGAGTCCACCTCTATTGATGCACCGACGTTCTGCTCGAGGACTGCGTGGTGTTTACAGGTCTTTCTTTTTCAGAATAAGCTGCAGCACTTCGAGAACGTAGTGAATATATTTCATGAGCTGTAGTCGCCCGCTTTTGCAACAACATTTCTTTACTCCACGCCATCGCGTCGGCTACCGCTCTTGCTTGAAGCCATGCGTCGGAGTGTAGTGGATCATCTTTATTTCGTGGCCCTGACGGTTTTTGTTAACTGCGCACTAAGTTGTCTAAATTGTTTCTCAACTCTGAAAGAGTGACCGTTGATTGATATGTGGGTTTTAACGTCCCAAAGCCATCGTATGATTATAAGAGACGCTGTAGTGGAGGGCTCTGGAAATTTCGACCACCTGGGGTTCTTTAACGTGTACCCAAATCTTAGCACACGGGCCTACGACATTTTGGAAATGCAGCCGCAACCGCCGGGATTTGATTCCGCAACCTGCGGGTCAGCAGCCGAGTACTTTAGCCACTAGACGAGCGTGGCGGGGCGAAAGAGTGGTGACCGTATATTACTCGCTCGTTTCTTTTTACAGGTGTGCACTTGAATACAGCTTTTGCATCAAACGACTCTGACATGCCTGCACGTCCACTTTTTATGTTCTTTTTTTTTATCGCGACAATTGAGTGACTCTCACTGCCGCGGTACTTTGACCTGCACTATAGAGAGAAATGTTACGTAGGGCTGTTTATCGGGGAAATATTATCATCGTTTCAATACCGGTTGGCTGCGTACTTTCTGTTCATAGCCGAGGTGGAGCTTCGGTGTCGAAGTCGTTGCGGTTCATTCATCTGAGAAGAAGTGCTCTGAACATACCCGAGCACCCACGGAAGGTACAAAGTTTCCCTGTTTAGGTTTGCAAGGCATAGAAGCTGCTGCTCCTCGTCAATAAGAAAACAATGCAACTTGAAGAGTCCACAGCCACAAAAACTCCGCGTCTGGTGATCTGCATGGCATATTTCTTCCGACAGCAGTTTCCTGTTTCTGTAGTTCTTACTGCACCCAAAAACAGCGCAGTGGTTTTCTGATGACCAATTCTTGACTGTCATAGCAATGAAGAAAAACAAAACCCGCAGGTTGGCTTAATAGACGGCAAATCAATCGATAACACAACATACCCCCATCAACACAAACACTCCAAGCCGTCACCCGCATGACAGAGGGGAGGGATGCGTCGGTTGCAAGACCCGACCTCCTCACACGATGCAAAGGTCTATACAATGTCTATTGGTGTCTAGTAGCTATAGCACGCTTGATGTCAAATGCACCCACGTCGACGCCGATATAGTGACATTTCCGTCACCATGGCTAACGCCCTTCACCATTATTTAACTACTATGTGTCTGTCTGTCGGTCTGTCTGTCTGTCTGTCTGTCTGTCTGTCTGTCTGTCTATCTATCTATCTATCTATCTATCTATCTATCTATCTATCTATCTATCTATCTATCTATCTATCTATCTATCTATCTATCTATCTATCTATCTATCTATCTATCTATCTATCTATCTATCTATCTATCTATCTATCTATCTATCTATCTATCTATCTATCTATCTATCTATCTATCTATCTATCTATCTATCTATCTATCTATCTATCTATCTATCTATCTAATGAACCTTACGTTTACTTACTGTATTGGTTGCTCGCGTATCGCCACATGACATACGCAGGGATGCTAAATGAAAGTACCCAGTGGTAAATCCTTGCCGGAGTCCATTTCCACCTGAAAAACTATAAATCATGTTTTTCTCGTTCAACTCGACAGAATGCGCTGTTTGCCGTGTCCATGGCCAGCACAACCACACAGTGAAAAAACCAACTAGAAATGTGTGTCCTCGGCTCAAAGACAGGCGCCTTCAAGCAGTTGGCTGAGCCACGGCTGGGCTAGAGGACCGACACACTGTGAGCGTGTGCCGCTCCTCTTGCCCGGCCGTGGCTCATTAAGGTGCTTCTTTGTTATATATCTTTTTACGAGCACCAGCCTGGTCAGTGTCGCTAGTAATACTTCTCGGTTCAGAAAAGACCTGACCTCACGTACGAGCTGTAGCGCGTGGCTTTCTGGCGGGGCATTGCTCCCTCTCTCTATGGCGAAAGAGAATGCGTAACAAGGCGCAGCCACGCATCCTCTTTCTCCATGGGGAAAGGGCACAGCGCCACGGGAAAGAACCACACACTGACGCGCTGCAACGCGCACGAGGGGTCAGGCCTTGACGGAGTTATTTGAGGTGGCACGCCGATAGCGCAGGCGGTCTCAAACCAAAGCGGGTAGCTCACGGGGTCAGCAGTGTGTAATTCCAAAACAACCGGGCGGAACACCAACGCGCTTGACGTGTGTACAATTTTAGGAGCGAAGCTCCTTACGCCGTGTGTCGTGCGTCCCCGGTGTATGCATGGGTGTAATATTAATATAAAATAATAATAATAATATTATTGGTTATCATTATTATAAGTAGTAGTAGTAGGTAGCCACCTCCCCATTAGTCCTTGGAGTCTCCACTGGATGATGGCACTTCTATATGATGGAAAGATGCGAGATGGCGGTACTTGAAGTGTCCACTAGATGGATGCACGGACGGATAGACAAATAGAAGCAAGGACGGGCGCACAGACAGACAGATAGACGGGCAAACGAATGGACGCACAGACGGTCACACGGATGGTCGCACAGGCAGACGCACGAACGGACGGAAGTACGGGCGGATGAATTCAACGACGGATGCGTGGAAGGTCGCGCGAGTGGACGGGCGCAAGCAAGAATGAACGGATAGACGAATGCATGGACGCGCGCATGGGCGAACTCACGAATGCTTCGCCCCACTCCATATATTTCACTCCGTAGATATGCTGTGATTTTTTTCACTTACGCATAGGTCCCACGAGCTCTAGCGCGTGTTGATCTCTTGTTCTGCAAATTTTCGTAAAACATACCTCGTATGCTGCATAGCTTTCAAGTAGATTAAAGTAGACGAATCTTTTTATTTGGCTTATCGATATTATCTGTGGTAATGAGGACAAAAGCAGGCGTGCGGAAGGGCAGCGGGTGAGCCCCCTCAAAGCCCCTGGACGGGGGTGGGAGAGTAATATTTAAGTTTTTACTTACGTTGTTCTGTCTCATTAGTCAATGTTCAATGAGCACGATTATGGTAGCACAAGTTGTTTGGCGACTATGGCTGCCAAAAGCCCCTGATGTTTCAATTATGAATAATTTATTTCACATATCTATCTCAGAGACCAAAGGCAGGTCATTGTGAAAAACCTGATCACCTTACGTTAATTTTTACCGTTGTGAAGGACGTAACACAGCCATTGGTTGAGGAGCATAGAGCTTCCTAAACTTAACTAGTGGGGACTCTGACGATGTGATCATTCAGCCACCATGGGAATGATTGGTAGTGGACAAATTTACCCAGTCTTCATGCTTTCTAGGTTTGTACGTACCTGTGGATTTGTTTATTGTTGCGTTTTGTTTGGTTTCTAATAGACAAACGGACCGTTGTTAACTTCGTCACCCGATTGGAATTGGTGAGCCTGTGAAGGTTAAGGTCGTGAAGCGAAACCGCTCAAAATTTACTGATCACATAGACTTTCATAAAATAATACCTAGAGAGGATTCTGGCACGGCGATCGTGTACCCTAATAAGAATTATGGTAAGTACAGGCTTCGGATTGAATCGCGTTATCCAGTGAACTGTCTACGAATATTTTCTGCAGTTTCAGTTTCGTTCTTTGCGTAGAGTGGGTAGTGGGGTGGGTTCAAAGGACTTTAGCTGCACCTTTGACGTTCTAAGAAGCCAAAAACTGCTAGGCCTCTAAATTTACTGCAACGCTGGAGCTGTATAAGTCGTGTTTGATAGTTTAAGCGAAGCGTCGTCCATTCACCGCTGCGCATAGATGTAGCGTCCCATGCCAGTGCACGATTTTACATGGAGATCACGTTTGTTGTTAGTGCGTCTTGCCAAAACGCGTTGAAATCAACTGCAAAACGACGGCGACGCAAAGTAGACGCACCGGCACGCTCTTCTGACTTGACTTCACAACAAAACGAGAGGTGCGTTGGAGACAGACCACTTGAACAGACGCGCCTGGCATCGCAGCAGACAAAACGTTAAGTGTTCCTCACTTAATACGGTACTGTTATTTCCATAAATAGATATTGCGTACTTTTGAGGGCGAACCAAGAATGTTTGTTTTCAAGTGTTGTAAGGAATAATTCATTACATCTTAATGCCAAATCTGGAATGCAACGGCAGAGCAATGCATACCCTGGTGGTTAAATTTGTCGAGGTTTCACTTCTATACCGCCTAGTCACAAGAACCATTTACAATAATATTTGCGTACAAAAAATGAAGCAAGTTTTAATTAACATAGTTTCATATCATTTGGTTTTACACTCGGAAAAGAAGCGTCGCCAATCTCAAGAGCGTAATCCATTCGAAGCAGATCCGAAGCCTGTACCTCCCATAATTCCCATGGAGGTACAAGCGCCGCTGAAGGAGCGTGCGTAGACACTGGCGCCAGATTCCGCTCTAGGTATTTTTTGATGAAACTCTATGACTGATTATCTTCTCGTGACAAAGTGGCTCTGAACCATGCGAAACAGACGGAGCCGGAAGAACGAAGATTAGACCGATTTCTTTACTACCCGTCATTCCCCGGTGGACTGAAGTGCCATGCGTTGCAACTCCCATAGACACTTGCGCTAGAGTTCTCTCAAGTGTACTTACGGATAACTCTACGGCGAAGAGGGGGGGGGGGGTGATGCGATGATATCTCGCTCTATATTGGGGAAGCATGCGGGCAGGCAGTAGAGACCTACAGTAGTAAAACTCAAACTGGTGACTATGTCAAGTGCATACGCGCGCCCACTCATAAAGCCTACGCTCGCGTACTCGCGAATCGTGTTATAAGCATTCACAAAAAAACAAAATGGCACCAGACTGGTGCCTCGGGAGTTAGTTACCTGTATGGTTGAACATTCTGCTGACAAGAAGGCTCTTCGTACACCGCCACAACCGGCATTTTCGTGCCCGTTTTAGGTGTTACGCATGCGTCGCTTCTCGAGTCTTCGATTTACTTTCCATCTTTCACGTTACTACACCGTCAACGTGGCAGATGAGAAGGAAACAGTTTACTCGAGTGCTACTGCCTATTAAACAGGTCAAAAAGAGATGGATGATTAACAAGCAGCTTTGGCGACAGCTGCTTTCTTGACGTCACAGGGAGTTTGACTTCGTTAAAAGTTTTCTCGATAGGTAGAATGCCGAGGGATGGTCTGGGATTTATTGTGAGGGAAACAAAGAAAGACTTGTTGTCAACTATTCTAGTTGCGGTGCACACAATACACAGACATCAACTGCAAATATGAAACAATTTAAGCATGATGAGAGTTTTCATAGGTGTCAAAAAAGAGCCACACTGAGCACCAATAATGAAAATTTTGAACGCTATGAGTATACAGAAAGGTTGGCTTAGCAGCGTACATTTTCTTTTTTTTTTCATCAAAAATGACGCTATAGCACATAAACTGCTGTTAGCGTTGATTCATCAGTTTTCTTTTTTGCTTTATAGTAATGCTTTCCTGCTCTATTGGGCATTTCCTTTATTTATATTTTAAATATGAAGCATTTATTAGCGAACTTCGGTGACTTTGAACGTATCTATCTATCTATCTATCTATCTATCTATCTATCTATCTATCTATCTATCTATCTATCTATCTATCTATCTATCTATCTATCTATCTATCTATCTATCTATCTATCTATCTATCTATCTATCTATCTATCTATCTATCTATCTATCTATCTATCTATCTATCTATCTATCTATCTATGTAGCCACCTACGACTTCTAGCCCTCCTGGCTGTCTCAATAATGGTATTGATAGCAAAATCGGTATGGCATAAAAAGACTGTATGATGAATGTCGTTATCTAGTCAAACACGAAAATCATAACATGTGTGTCTTGAATGTCATAATTTACATTTCATAGTCTTGCTGCTGTTGCAGTGGTTTCGTTCACATTACATTTCGCAAAACTGGTTGTGGTATGACATCTTTGCATGACGAACATAAGTGACAGACCCCAATTTAGAAATCGTGATATGCATGTAATGGTTTTCGTGTTATGAGTAGTCATGACTACACGTCACGCTGATGGTGCCCTCGCGGTCGTTTCGCTAGCTTCACTTATACCAAATTTGATATTACGGGACTTTAATTGATGACAAAAGTAAATGACACGTCCAAACATAATGATCATAATATGCGTGTCATGTAAAACATGACTGCATACTAAGTTCTAAACGCGCTCGCAGCCGCTTCGCTAGCTTCCCATATACCACGTTTGGTATTACATCAAGTAATTGCCGAAGGTATGTGACTGGTACAAGCATTATAATTATGAAATGCGTGTCATGTAATAACATGACAACATATCATGCGCATGATGCATTTGCGGCCGTTTCGCTAGCTCTACATATACTGAATTCAGTATCGCAAGACGTGAATAGACGACAAAGGTAAATCACACGCCCAAATATGATAGACATAACATGCACGTGATATAAAGCATGACTACATGTTACGCTCATAGCGTGCTCACTGCCGTTTCGATAGCTTCATATATCACGTCACGTGATACTAAATTTGGTATCACGTGACATGAATGGACGATGATAGTATATGACACATGCAAATATGATAATGATATGGAAGTTATGTAGGACATAATTTACGTCCACCTCGTAACGTTGTGCTGACTTTAAAGTGACATATCAACCTTTCTTATTCAAGCTTCACGTATCATCGATTCCCACAGTACGTGCGATCTGCCAATTTTTTTTCCGCACTTTTGTGAAAGCCTTCTTCTCGCTCCTTTTGTGCGGTAGATATGCATGGATAATAATCACCTGAGTTAGTTCAGTAAAATAACTATTTTAGAATTGTAAGCGTGGTGACGACAAAAAATAGCGCAAAGAAACGGGGACACAAGACGAGGACACACGGCACAGGAGCTAACTTCCAACATAATGTTTATTGCCACCGCACACTCGCCTATATCACCAAGAAAAATAACATCACATGACATGAATGATGCGCACAAAAAATTAATTTCTTAGAAAATACAATTCTTTATCACTGAGCGTAGGAGAGGGAGTGCTGACGCACTTAGACCCCAGTGAAGCGATAGCCTCAGCCTCAATAATCTTTCTAGTTAGCTTGTCAAACATTCTCTTGATAACAGTGCATGCATTGAATATCGGCGCGCAGCCGCAGGATTTACAATGTATGGTCAACCAACTTCGCTGGCCGTTTTTTACATTATTACAATGTTCTCTTAATCGATCATTAAGACAACGGCCCGTCTGTCCAATATACTCTTTACCACAAGAAAGCGGGATACGATAAACAACGCATATGATACAGGGAACATAAACAGTTCGATGCTTCTTACTACAACCTTTAGGTTTTCCGTCACGGTCATGAAGGCCACACAGGCTGACCAACTTTTTGGGAGCCGAAAAGACAACCCTAACTTCAGAGCGCTTATCTAATTTCTTTAGGTTGTGCGAAATCTTGTGATAGTATGGTATGACGACCAGGTGCTTCGGTTTCACGGAATCACGACTCGCTGTACAACCTGGGTTGCGAAGCGTACGAAGCAAGCCTTCTGCAACTGAAGTTTGGACGTGCATAGGATAACCTGCTTTGAACAAACGGTCAGAGTGATTATGAAAACTATTGGCGATTTCGTGCTCACAAGATTTGCTCAAAGCGTGACGAAAACAATGACTGATGATGCCTCTTTTCACTAGTTTGGAGTGAGCTGATTGGTAAGGAAGGACCGGTTTGTTCATACGTGGTTGGTAAGCCCAACATATGCGGTTAGGATGAAAGGTGAAGAGGACATCGAGGAATTTTATGGCATTGCTTTCAGGCAGTTCATGTGTGAGAGTCAAGGGATTAAAAGACTCAGAAAAATGTGAAATTATTTTTGCCACACCTGCCTCATCCACTACCGTGTCGTTAGATAATAAGACAAGATAGTCATCGACATACCGGAACACTTTTTTTATCTTCAAATTATCAAGACGTAGGTAAATCGGTCTGTCCATTCAGCTTAAAAATATGTCGCTTAAAATAGGCGCAATGCAGGACCCGATACAGATTCCATCCTTTTGAATAAAAGGCTTGTCACCCCATGAAATGTTGGTCGTCTTGAGGTAAAATGATAAATGTTCTAAAAACCGACTGACAGGAACACCACACTCGGTTTGAAATCTAACAGAGCCAAACACATCTATGCACTCTTCAACCGCAGGAAGCAACTGATCATGGGGAAGAGAATAATACAAATCAGTCACGTCGACTGAAAAACCATAAACATGCTCACCGACACAAGTTCTCACATAATCTATGACTTGATCAGAACTTTTTACTATGAAAGGATCATCAACGTTAAGCCGGTTCAGCTGTTCTTGCAAAAAAGTAGCAATTGATTTTTGCCATGTGTCACATTCTGAAACAATTACCCTAAAAGGCATATTACTCTTGTGAGTCTTGGCATTAAAAACACTTTTAAAAAGTCATGCATACTATTTGTGATGCCACTGACAACTCGAGAAAGGTTTAGGTCTTTGCATAGCTTTTTTCCTACCGATTTAAATTTTTCAATGCGGACATCCTCGCGAGAGGAGAAAACAGAGCTTACGACAGTGTGAGCCTTAGAACCAAACAGTCCCAGAGTCAGGATGGCGAAGCCTCCTTCCTTATCAGCGAGAAGGACGGCAAGAGAGTGCTCCTTGAGAAAAGCCTCAACTCTCTTGAGCGGAATTTTGGATCCAGCTGGTCTGTAGCGCGAAACAGTGTCAACGCCTTCTAAGATGGAGTGAGGTTGCTCTTGTTCGGGCACATGGCGTGAAACTTGTCGCACCATGGCTAGAAGTTCCGGTGGAGACGTCTTAGGTTCCACCGCAAACTTGGGCCCGAGGCTTAAAGTCCGGAGGATGTCGGAAGGCACGGTGATCTGTTCAGGCACGTGAGCTGTCGGCTTTTGATCGGTTACTTTTTTGGCGACGCCTGTGCGTAGCACCGACAATTGTACAGCCCAGAGGAATTCCGTGCTTTGGTCGGCGAGGCGCTGAAATTGTCGAAGCTGCTGCATGGCCACAGTATCTTCGAGACGATCAAAAAGCAGGGCGGACAAGTATTGTGTATGTAGACGTGCTTGTCTATACCATTCTGCCTTCAAGATTTTGCACACCGGCACACCACTAAGCCCATGACCAACTGAGGGGGCGACGTTGCCGAAGAGGCGCTTGACTTCCTGAGGCAAAATGCTGTGGCGAATGCAAAAGCAAGGGAACGAGCTTGACAGGATGCAAAAGCGATGTAGGTGGCTGTAGCACATGGGTTTGAAGATGAACATAAAGAAGGGCCCGTTGTACGAGAAATAAAGTTCAACACTGTCGAAATTTGGGCTTGTTGGTGCATTGTGACGACAGAAAATAGCATTGTGACGACAGACCAAGGCACGGAATTCCTCTGGGCTCGACAATTGCCGGTGCTACGCACAGGAGTCGCCAAAAATGTAACCGATCAAAAGCCGACAGCTCACGTGCCTGAACAGATCACCGGCCTCCCGACATCCTTCGGACTTTAAGCCTCGGGCCCAAGTTTGCGGTGGAACCTAAGACGTCTCCACCGGAACTTCTAGCCATGGTGCGACAAGCTTCACGCCATGTGCCCGAACAAGAGCAACCTCACTCCATCTCAGAAGGCGTTGACACTGTTTCGCGCTGCAGACCAGCTGGATCCAAAATTCTTCTCAGGAGAGTTGAGGCTTTTCTCAAGGAGCACTCTCTTACCGTCCTTCCCGCTGATAAAGAAGGAGGCTTCGCCATCCTGACTCTGGGACTGTTTGGTTCTAAGGCTCACACTGCCGTAAGCTCTGTTTTCTCCTCTCGCGAGGACGTCCGCATTGAAAAAGTTAAATCGGTAGCAAAAAAGCTATGCAAAGACCTAAACCTTTCTCGAGTTGTCAGTGGCATCACAAATAGTAAGCATGACTTTTAAAAAGTGTTTTTTAATGTCAAGACTCACAAGAGTAATATGCCTTTTAGGGTAATTGTTTC